CCTAGCCTAAAAAGTCCTCTCAATCTTTGTTCTCTTCTGTTTCTCCCTACGCCTGATTTCCTTTCTTCTTTGTCTTTCATCTCTTTCTCCTTCTTTTCTTCGTCTTGCATGATAATCAGTTTTTTCTTTTTTCTTTTTAGGTTCATACCTAGATGGGCTGGCTTACCTCTGTATTCATTTCACAACAACAGAACCGATTGGGGGAAGGGGAATCATGCGGTGGCAAGGATTGCTAACCTAGGGGCTATCATCACTGGTTATGGAGTTTTGAGACAAAACTGAATTGATTGAAACAGAGGGAGTGAAAGCCGCTTATCTGATGACCTGAAGCATGCAAGAGGGATGTGGGACTGTTTTGGATCGGAACAACGATTATAGTAGCAAAATCGGGAGATTTCTTGGCCAGGCTTCAAAGTTGCCCCCTTTTCCAAACGCAAGCAACCTTCTACTGTACCCAGGACTCTTTCTATAAGCCCATAACAAGCAAAATCACAAAACCCTTTTTTCAAAAAAAGAAAAAAAAAAAAAACTCCTTTCTTCCTCCTCTCAATTCATCTCCTATTTATACTTCAATCCTTCCTCCTCTCCAAACCTTTGATTCTCTTTCTCTTAATCATGTCCCTTCCCATTACATCCTAAATTATCCAGCTCCTCTATTATTGTCTTCTTTCTCACACTTTTTTTTTTAATTGTTTTTGCAGGTCTGGTGCAGCATGAAATGGAAAAGGTACATTGTGATTCCTGATTGGATTGGATTGAAGCATTGGAGGACAGGTCGTTCGGACTGGTTTCGAATTGGTCTCGTTGTCCATTTCTTCCTTTAAGTTGGGTTTCTATGCGTCCCCTTAACATATCATTTTAGTCCCCGGTCCCTTCAATCTTTGCAAATGTATACCTGCATCTCTCAATTTGAATTCCCAAACTTTTAATTGCTACAATTATATCCTTATTTATTTCTAATTGTATTGTTCTTTATTTAATTGTATCCTTTCCCATTATGTAATGCAATTAATTAGTTAATTATTTTTTATTTTTTTATGGAAAAAATAGAAAAGATAAATTAAAAAATAAATTCCTGAAATTGAAATGAAATTAAACAAGGATTAAAAAAAAGGTAAAACAAAGTAAAAATAAGATAAAATGAAACAAAGTAAAAACAGTAAAATGGATGAAAATAAATACAAAAAATACAAAAAATAAAGGTAACCCAAATTTTGGGTTATGACATACTAGAACATTTCTCCTAAATTATAATTTCATTCTCGTGTTTTTATGATTTCTTAGTTAATCCATTTGTTTTCGAAAACCATAAGTTAATTTGTTAACTAAAGTTGACTATTAATCATTTTTAAAATTTCTAATTTATTCCTTTTAAATGCATTTTTAATTTTGTCTGTAATTGGTAAGATTGAAAATTTTGATTAGAGATTAAAGACATTTCATGAAAAAATAAATAAATAAATAATCATGAAAAAAAAACGAAAGATGAAGTTATAAACAAATTTGAAAATGTAGGGACTTGATATTAGATTTTAAAAACAAAGGAATTAATTAATTGTCGCGACCTAATATTTAGGGACTTTCAAAAAATTAACATTTTTATGAAAATTTACTTGTTCAAACTATTTATTTTGAATTTATCGGAGATGTGAGTTAAACAAAATTTTGGAGTCGCCATCTAGTATTAAAGAAATTAGAAAACCTAAAAATGACATTGGTTCAAAGATTTTAGAATAAAGAGTTAGATATACTTTTGGAAAGATATCAATCACCCAAAACTACACTTTTCAAGAAAATGGATTATGTCCGGTCTAATCCTAAAAGTTTGTCTTCTAAAAATTTCAATTTTTGCGAAATTAATTCTCAATTAATTTCCAAATATATTATCTAAACCAAATTATTATTATTATTATTATTTTGTTTTTGGCATTAGATCCTTACCCATAAAAAAATAACCAAAATATAGAAAGTTCATTATTTATCATCTCTCTAGAAAATTTTGTAGGACATGGATCCCAATAAAATAAGAAGAAAACCAAAAAAAGAAAAAAAAGGGCCACCAAAGAACTTGTAAATGGGGCTATCGACCCAAGTCACCTATTGGTCAACTTTTAGACTCGTCGGTATTTCCTCTCTCAAATCGACCTCTTTCGACCAAAATTGCTTCGATTCATTACCACAAATTGATACTCAACCACTAGATCTATAATTCTTGACTGGTTAGTGAAGAAGAGGACACTGGAGGAGAGAGAAATCGAGGAGAGAAGGTTTGCCTTTTGACTCGATTGTATATATATTATTATCATTGTTTTTTGACCAAACCAACAACTCGCTACCACTACATAAGTTTTTCTTATCCTCCTATAAGCTGTTCCCTTTTAAAATCTTGTTGAAATTGGTTGAATTGAAGAGAAAAGAAACCAAACCAACCTACTCGTTTACTTGTTTCTTCCAAATCCTACTAAATCTTTTGGATCCGACCAAATCGAGCCTCCTAACTACCATAGAAGTGCTTCTTATGGTCCTTTGAGCAACTTGGTGGTCTCCCTTTGCCTTACCATGGTCAGAATCTTCATTAGAAAAAGAGGAGTCATAAGCGAATCTTCAAGGAGTCCGATCTATCTCCTCCGTCAACGACGATCGATGAGACCACCACAAACAAATCGCCAATGACCTCCTCTAGTCTACCGATCGATCGATGCACTTGAATGATTATTGGACGATGGTTGGACATCTCGGTAGTAGTGTTGGGAGCTCCAAGGGACAATTTTGAAATTTTGACATGCACGGCATTTTGGTAATTTTCTCTAAAGGGCATTTTGGTAATTTCTAATAGCATTCTAAGAGGCGTTTTGGTAACTATTTAGTGCCCATTTATTTTGTTTTCTTATCTTGTTTCTTAAAATTATTTTATGTCATTATTTTGTAATAACGTTAATTTTATTTGTATTAGAAAACCTATAAATAGTTAGATTACAAAATTTATCTTAACGTATGAGTTGATTCAATTATGATATCGGACCAACGAGTTTCTTATTTATAGGGATGAATGAAGTTTCTAATATATTTTATTCAACAATGAAAATGCTAAAAAAAATATATATATATGGAATCAATTTGGGTAAATTTTATTTAACATTTTTAGTTAATTAAGTCATTCCTCGATATACTAGTTATGTCGAGATTTTAACTCGTATGAGACGTTTGACGGAGGGGTCCTATGAATTGATTCAATAAGATGTCACAAACAAAATAAAAAAAATTAATTTGGTTTAGAAAATAAAATTTGAAATTTGGACTTAGGATCAATTTTGGAAAAAAAAAAAAACAAAAAACAAAAAGAATTTGTTTTAGGAGATAAACTTTAGAATTAAGCTAGACATAGTACATTTCTTAGGAAATGATACTTTTGGGTGATTGATATTTTTTCAAAGATATAGACCATTCTTTACTCTTAAATCTTCGAACCAAGTGCTCGAGTTAAGTTTTTAGTTTTTCAAATACTAAGTGGTAACTCGAAATCCATAAATAACTCACGTCTCCAAATAAATAAAATTTTTAACCAATAAAAAATTTAAATTTTCAAGAGTTCCACATGAACATTGGGTAGTGACAAATATAATTTGGTTTCTTTTATGTGTTGCAATCATATGGAACTAACAATACGATTTAGCAATGTTAGTTTAAAAAGTGGATAGAAGGACGAATCTGAGACATAAATCAAACATAGAGAGACGGAAAAAAAGGAAAAAGAACAAGGTAAAAACAAAAAAAAAAAAGAAAAAAAGGAAAAAGAAACTCTGCAGCCATTAATCCACAAAACAATTTTATCTCGTCATAAGCTATTGTCATTTTCTTTTTCTCAAGAGATTTGAGAGACTTAGAGAGAACAAAATCTTCGCTTGCATCTTAATTATGGTCTATGGATATTCGAATGAATTGTATTTAACTGATATAAGGGGTATTTTTCTAGATATGGGAATCGAGTGAACATATTTCTTATCTCATAGAAATCCGAATCCGAATCTATTTGGTGTTTCTTCATGTACTACATCCTATGGTGGTCTTTGTCGATAAGATTGTTGACATTTGTGTCCTTGGATTAGTATTACATTGATAAATGGTGTAATTACTTATGATCCAATGCTTATAGTATTATTTCGACGCGATTGGATTACTACGGTGATCGTTAGGCTACATGTGTTAAAGTTTTGCCACGCCAAAATGAGTTTTTGCTTAGCATGAGAGTCATTTTGCAAATAATTTTTTTTTCCTAAAAACAAACTAACAATTTATGTTGTCCAAGTGAAAAAAATGTTGGAATTTTCATAATATGGGCTAAGATAGATTGTAAGTATTTTTATTTTGTTAAAAAGGGGAAAAGTTATAGTCTAATTTATTGGATCTCTACTCTTTAGGCAGTTATGGATGCATGTAGAGTTTTGAGTATGGACTTAAAAATTCTAAAACAATTCTTAATAAATGAACTATTAAGATTTCTATCTAATAGGTCAGGTTCCCACCTTCTATCTAATAGGTCAGGTTCCCCCTTCTATCTAATAAAACTATGTGCTTGTTCTATTGAGAGCCATAAACCCTAAAGCTAAGGAGGGGAAGAGCTAGCCAAAAACACGCTTGTTTATTTAATTTAGTCCGTTCTAAATATAGATCCTCGGCTATATTTTCTTTTATGAAAATCTGCATTCAAGGAAATCATGGCTAGAAAGATAGTAATTACATTATTATCTCTTGATATACATTTCCTTGCATAGCTTGCTGATATCCCTTGTGATATACTTTCTTGAATAGCTTGTATTCCCTCTATTTCAACATCACATGCATCGTTGCTAGAGATAGAGAAATATACACCAACTTTGCCATTTTTTATTCTCCTATAGTTTTCAAAACATTACTTGTCAATGGCCCTTCACCAGATTTCTTCATTTTGTATTGCCACTCCCACCAGATTGCCATCTACAAGTCGAGTCTCTCAACGATATATGTCAACGAATATTAATTCTTCACCTCGCCAAGTACGATTCGCGGTAGCCTGCAAACCCAACGATGATAGCATTGTCAGGAGGGCTGCAACATATCCAAAGCATAATTGGGATTATGATTCTGTTCAATCACTGACAAGTAAATATGTGGTATAGTGCATGTCAATGAACTATCTCAATTCAAAAGTTTAATCTGTTAATTTTTTTTCTTACTGGAGATGAACATCCAACTATTAATTTGGCAAGAAGCTAAACAAGTTCTTGTATTGTCCAGGGAGAACCATATCTGGGACGAGCCAACAAGCTCAAAGCAGAAGTAAAGGTGATGCTAGAGAAAGCATTGGAACCTATAAATCAACTGGAGCTCCTTGATACCTTGCAGAGACTGGGTTTAGCTCATCATTTTGTAGATGAAGCGAAGAACATACTGAAGAGCATGTTTCATGATACTCATATAGAGGATACAGAGACGAAAGCTGACTTGTATGCCACTGCACTTGAGTTTAGACTCTTAAGACAGCATGGGCATCTTGTACCTCAAGGTAACTTCCATAATTTAACATGTATCTTGACTGGATATTGCTTCATATGTTTCACATAAAAACATATAGATATGTTTTTTTCTTTAAACGTGAATAAATTATAAATTAGTCCCTTTAGGTTTGCAAAACAAATTAAATAGCCCCTCTTTTAAAAATTGATTAATTTATTCTTTGACTAGTGTTGTTGATTATGGTTAATTTAATATTAAGAAAAAAGAACTTTTTTTCTCATCAATCCTTCCCTATTTTTTACTTTTTTTTCTTTTCTATTTCTTAAAAGAATCTAAATAAATTTTAAAAAAGATTACCTTACAAATAGATTTAAAAAGATAAGGGTTAATTAATTATTTTTTTGAAAATAGAAGGACTGTTTAATTCATTTTACAAGACTAAAGGGACTAAATTATAAGTTACTTGTGTTTGCATAGATATCTCATTTGGTCAAATTTTATTTACATAGAATATCTTTAAATTGATTATAAAAAATGTTATAGTATTATGCATAAAGATTAATGTTAATTTTATTTACATGCAAAACACATGCCCAAAAATTTTGTAACAGGCAAGATAATTGATGGATAAAAATTGCTAAACATTTTTTTTTCTTATTTGCAGAGGTTTTCAATCGTTTTAAGGATGAACGAGGAAATTTTAGGGCAAATGTTTGTAGTGATATAAAAGGAATGTTGCACTTGTACGAAGCTTCATATTATTCGGTAGAAGGTGAAAGTATCTTAGATGATGCTCGAAATTTCACTTCCAAACATCTTGAAAATTATGTCAAGCAGTGTGACAGTAACGAGTATCTTTCCATGCTAGTGATCCATACATTAGAGACTCCACTGGCGTGGAGGGTGCTCAGATTTGAAGCCAGTTGGTTCATTAAGTTATATGAGTCTCAACAAAATATGGAACCAATTTTGCTTGAGCTCGCAAAATTGGATTTCAACATGACTCAAGCTACGCATCAAGAGGAATTGAAACATTCATCTAGGTAATTGAAAAATCTTCTATAATTTGGCTTAATAACTTAAACTTTTGAATTATAAATTATTAAGAAATAATATAAATTATATTTTGATATTTCATTTGGCTCAATAGACATGATTAAACTTTTGGATTGAATAGTATTTTAACATGGTATTAAAGTCTTGATAATTAAATGATTAGGAATTTGAATCTCACTATCCTCATTTTACATAATATAATAGTAGATTTTTGTAAGTTTCAAGTTTCAAAAATTTTTGTTTAAAGAAGTAAATAATAACATAAATCACGTTCTAAAATCTCACCTTATAAATTAAACTCGTTTGATTGAAATAGCTTTTCTTTAACCCAAATCGTCAAGATAAAAGTATTATTGTTATTATTTTTTTGTCAAGTTTTATTAAAGGAAAACTTATTAATATTTACACTCTACCTAATAATAATTTATGAATAATTTGATTTTATAGTACTTAAACTAATAGTTTCTCTTTTTTTTTTTTTTTTTTTTTGGCATAAAAAGTTGGTGGAAGAAAACAGGCCTTGCAGAAAAATTGGATTTCGTCAGGGCCTGGTCGATGGAGAGTTTCTTCTGGAGTGTGGGATTTAAATCTGAACCAGAATTTGGATATTTCAGGAGAATGATGACCAAGGTTATTCAACTAACAACTGTGTTGGACGATATCTATGATGTCTATGGTACCTTAAATGAGCTGGAGCTACTGACAGATGTTATTGTAAGGTTCGTAGCAGCTACTCTTGAAATCTTATACCACATCTGTAATGCTTTCTTCAACTTTATTAATTTGATGTTTTCTGGATCTGTATATATAATTTAATTTCAGGTGGGATATTAACGCAATGGATCAGCTTCCACACTATATGAAATTATATTTTCTGACTCTGTACAACTCTGTAAACGAGATGGCTTATGATTTCCTCAAGGATCAAGGATTTAATATCATTCCATACCTCAAGAAAGCGGTATTTCTTTATCTCTAAACTACAACATTAATTAATTATTTGTGTGCTTGATAATATTCTGAGAATTCTGAATTTGACAAACTTTTTTAACATATAGTATTAGATGTCATTTTATTATTATTTCTAACATGAATAAAACTGCAAAATCAAGCCAAAATATCTTGTTACAGCGTGCATGATGCTATTTCACTTTCCATCGAGAAAAAGCGATCAGATTAGTTCTTTATCCTACTTCTTTTGATCTGATAACATTTTTCCATCCATAAAGCTAACATTATCAGAACGAATACCGAAAACTAGGTATTCCTGAAGTACTAGAGATTTTGCCGTTTCCAGGGATCTAAGACTTTAAGACTATGTACAGTTTGCCTATTTCTATTTACTTTTCTCGTTTTTTATGTATTGCAAATTCTGCATTGATTGTCAAGCTGTTCTCAATTTTCAGTGGGCAGCAGTAAGCAAATCATTTTTGCTGGAGGCCAAGTGGTACCATGCCGGATATACTCCAACTCTAGAAGAATACTTAGAAAACGGATGGATTTCAATAACAGTGCCAACAATGCTACGCCATGCATATTTTTGGGTCACAAATCCAATTAAAATGGAGAAACTACAATACTTAGAGGAATTCCCCAATGTCATTCGATGGTCATGCATCATTGTACGACTTCTAGATGATCTAGCAACATCCTCGGTATGCAAACTAGCTACTCTACACCTTTCCTCCATATGTTCCTGTTTTCTTCTTGGGATTATCTTTCTACAAGAAAATGTATCTATTTGAGAAACCAATAAATTTTCTTTAACTAAAATGAATATAAGAAAACAAAGTATTAAAAAATTAATCATTTAGTTCTTCAAGACGTATATCCAATCGGTATTTAATTAACTCTAATGAATTATTTATTTATTTTTTAAGTTTTTATTTGAAAAATCATATTATGAGAGCATAATTAAAATAGCTAATATACAGTTAATTGTATAGGTAAATTTAAACTCGTCAATGTCATTTTTACTCAAGTAGTTTTCAGCATAAGTAGTGATTATGTAATATTTTCTCGAATTTTGTCAAAAAATTGTATCAATTTAAAAGTTTAACTTATTAGATAATGTTTTATAATAGTTTTATATTACTCTTATCAATGAATTTAAACTAAGTTTATGTCAAATTACATATTTTTGGATATATGGTGCCTATAATTTAACGATACTTCAAGAGAATTATTATAATTCAGCTCTTATTTATGATTAGTAGATTCTCAAGCATATAATTTTATCTTATTTTTCCTTATTCAGGATGAACAAAAGAGAGGTGATGCTCCTAAGTCAATCCAGTGTTACATGCATGACACTGGGGCTTCTGAAGAAGAAGCTTATGACCATATCAGAAACGTAGTTTTTGAAACATGGAAGAAGATAAATGGAGATCGATTTTCAAATCCAATCTTCTTTGAGACTCACACCGAAGTTTCACTGAACATAGTACGGACAAGCCAAAGCACATTCCTTCACGAAGAAGGGTATGAAGTCGCAATTCCTAAAGCTAAGGATCTCATGAGATCAATTCTTGTTGATCCAATTAATTAATGCAATTTCCAAGAGGCATATGTGGCTGTTTTAACATTGGGCATTGCTCTTTTTGTAATCCCATAAATTTAAATTAATTAGTAAGAAAAAGCGATCACATTCACCTATATGTGTGTGTGTTGATTGTTTGCTGCATATTTGAAGTTCTTGCAGTAGTTTTAGAGTATCCCTTACATGAGACTTCTATCTAACATTATATGACAGTCACGGGAGAGTTGAAGATTGCTGTTGTTGCTGTAGTTTGTTAGATGACTTTCATATATAATAGAATGAATTTATTATTTATAATGAGAGTAAACGTTACAGGCCAAAGATCATTGCAGACATAAATCTTAAACGTAAAGGAGAATAGACTATCTCAGAGCCTTTTAGAATTCGTTAAACCTTCTCAGAGAGTACTTTACTGATGTTGTAGTTGATAGTCTCAGGATTGCAGAAGGCAGTGTAGTAAAAACTCTTTGCAACTGCTAGAAATCTTTGCTTGATATTGGATTCCATGCCATCTGAAGAGTTTTGGAGGATTAAATGCACGAGTTCTTGCATGCCAGACTCTATCTCTGGGGTAGTAATTCTGCTACTCAGAGTGTTGTAGCTGCCATTTTCATGTGCCTGAGAAAATTGTGGGAAGAAAAAATTATTCTAGGACAAGCCTTATTCTAGGAGAAGCCTTATACCCCGCTGGTTTCTACCTATAATATAGTATAATCATCGATCTCATTAAAAAGAAAGAAAAAAAAAAAAAAAACGAATGCATAAAAATATATGCACCAGAGAACAATAAAATTAATGGATTGCAGTCAAAATTAAATGATTAATTAAAGAGTAGCTTTCACCATGTTCCTTACAGTCACTGACCATGTTCTTCCTGTAATGACCAAGTTGATAGCATACTCTGTTGGTGAGATTTGAGAGGTGTTCATATTGCAGATGATTAGCTGACAGGCCGTTATCGGATATCCAATACCCAGATGTGAGATTCATTGTTTGAACCAGTAGTTCTGCTTCTCCTTTGTACCTATCTCCTTCCACTTCCCACTTCCCACTTCAGCAGCCACTTTTCCCACTATATTTATTGAAAATATGACAAATGAATGAAAAGGGAGAAAGAAATGCAACTATTTTGCTTTCTTTTGTTGGCTTTAAGGCTTATAAATGGATTGCTCTTGTGATGAATTTGTTTTGGAAATGGAATTAATTCATTCATAAAAAGAATAAAACTGAAAAATATGGGAGGAACATTAATGTGAACTCACTGAGTGACATAAACTGTCGCTGAAATTGCGACCATGAGCAGCCAACGCATCAAGGGAGAGATCTTTAATGGTTTCTAGCAATATATTAACGATTTCCTGTCCAGTCTTCTTGGGATGCGACTTCCTAAATAAAAAAAAACTGTGTTAGAGAATAACATAAACCACATTCTGGGGTCTCATCTAACAATTTAAGTTTTTAAATCAAAATGGTTCTTTGATATATTGAAAGAGCAAATGGAAATAACTTATGCCTTGGATTTATTTCAAGAGGGTTGTAATGCTTTTCTTGTTCTAGAGTAATGAATTCCCAAACAATATTGATTGAAGAACCAATGATATCATTACCTTCCATTTCCTCTGAAACCATTTTTGAATTCATTGAGAAAAACTCTCCTCTTCTCACGGGAATTGGCATACGTATTCATAAAAGATTCGATAGTTTCGAGCAAAATTGTTGTTTTAACCCATGCGAATCTTTCAATCCATCTTTCTGGTTCAAATACATTGGCTGCTGCCAGAAAATAAGCAAAGAGGAGGGTGCTTTTGGTACCATCTGTACATATCATTTAACATAAGCGTGGTTTGAGATTGTTGGCTATGTTATAAATATAAATAACTTATTGAATTCTATACACTAACTTACTTACTTTTGAAAATATTCCCATTCAGTACAATGCAAGGCTTGACAATTGTTGTAGTCTAGTTTTGCGAGCTCCAGATACACATTGTTGCTCGCATATGGAAACTTGTAAAGAGCCTTGGAAATCCATACGTCGTTTTCACCACCATACTGTTCTATGTAGAATCTGGCTTCCACTCGAGGCAAGCTTGCATACCATGGAACCTCCAATGCGTATCCCACCTATCACAAGTTATTAGAGAATTTAATAAATCAAGCAGTCAAACTAGATTAAGTCAAATATATTCTCAGTATAGACAGTCATATGTAGCAATGTAAATCCCATTATTATTACGTTAGATAGTTGAAATTGCATTTTAGAATAGGGTTTTTTTGTTTTTGTTTTTTTTTAACAGCCAATCTTTTAAAATCTATCAAATAACTTAAGTTTGAAGATTTTTCTAGGCCTTTGACCTTCTCATACCAAATAGTTCTCTGACAATTATCAATACAATTCTCTTTTATTTTTTATTTTCTTGTCAAGTAAAAGCACTTGACTTTGCTCTAGTTGTTAGAGACCGATTTTTTCTCAATTAGAGCCCTCGATTTAGAAATTATTAACAAAATCCATGTTTTCGTATCGGTTCATGTCTTATATTAAGTGTTTATTTTATTTGTTTATGCATTGAAAAAAGTCATCTTAAAGGATGTCAGCTTCTAAAAGGGGTGTTAAGTAAGGGGAACCACCTTCTTATTATGGACCTAATTAATCTCCGGGTAAGTCCTTGCTTATAACCCATTTGTCTTGGAGTTCATTGGCAGCTTGTTTTTCTCTTAGGAAATCGGACGAAAATTTCTCAGCATCTTGAAGAATCTTCTCTCCAGGAAATCGAAACTGAGAAGCCCTATACAGATTAAACGTTGCACTGACAGAGTTTGTTGACTCCAGGGCATAGCAGAAGAATTTACCATCTCTCTCGAAATGCTTGAACACATCTGCCAAACAAAAGAAGACTCTGAGATGACAATATTACCATATGTATTCTTTCATTGATTTTTATATCATAAATTTACCAGCAGAAACCTGGTGACCATGTTGTCTAAGTATCCTGAATCCCATGTTTGTACAATCAATATCAGGAACCCCAGAATAAATTCTTGCCCAACAGATGCCACCTTCAGTCCAATATCTGAAATTTGAAATATACTCGATCGACGAAATTCAAATTATTTTTCTTTTCAAGATGTATAAACTATCATTTTGGATCCTACCTACGAACACATTCAACACATTGTTTTTTCTGTATGTTCTTTTGAGGATATATAAAACATCGATTTTGATCATACCTAGAAACATAATCAACACACTGTTTAATCTCTGGCTCAAAATATCTTGAGATTCCTAGCCGCTGCAAGCGATCTAAAGCCCAGATGCGCTCCATTAAGTCAAATGGGTACATTTCTGGGACTGAAAAGGGATTAAACCAAGGAAATTTAGAAACCACATGTATGAAGAGTTGGTGAAGTTTATGTAGTGGCAAGAAAGGCACTTTACCTGCCCCATTGAACCTTTGAATTGTCTTAGTCAAATATCTCAAGCAACCTTCATCTTTAGTTTGCATGAATGCAAAGGCAGTGGACGACGGACAGAACAAAAAGGATCCATCTTCGCACTGCAATTTTAGAAGCTTTTCCCAGTCCAGGTCTGGCAGTCCTTCCAAGCTAAAGAGTAGTGTTGTGGGCACATCATGCATCATGTTCTTTGGTATCCTATCATTAATATAAATTATGTCCTGAATCCTCACTAAACAGCTTAATTTTTTAGGTAATATGGTTTTTTTGACATAGTATCAAAATCTTAATGACTAAACGATCACGAGTTCGAATTTCATTATTTTCATTTTTCTATAATAAAAGCTTTTACTTAATAAATGTGTTAGAAAATAATATAAATTATATCCTAAGACATCATCAAACAATTTAAACTTGTAGGTAAGATGGTCTTTTAACACCTATATTCCTTTGATACCTATATTAAGCATATAATAATTATCTTATAGTTTCAAAATGAAAACATATTCATTCCCAAACACGTGCTAATATTTAATAAAGATGTTAAAGAATAATATAAATCATATTTTATGATCTTAATTAAAAATTTAAATTCTTAGATGGAGATGGTTATTACTTGTTAGTAGTAACACATCTACATGTTGTTAATATATTTTCTATAAATCAACAACAATATATCTATTATGCTCTTTTTTTGTGAAATGACGTGAATATTTTATATCGAATTCTCCAACTATTCATCAACAGCACATTGTTTCCCTGTCAACGAATCATTTTCCTATTTAATTATTAATTAACACAGATTTCCAGAACAATTAATTCTACATTATTTTAGGACAATTCTTACAAAAATTCGTAATAGATGGCATTTTTCCAGACAACAATTTTTGAATCATCACTCAACAGGGTATCATGACACATGTGGTTGTGTGATGCTAGGCCATATTTTGATTTTTCTAGTCATGACTGAATTAAACATGTTTGATAGGTGCCGAAATCTAAAGGCACCCAAGAAAATATCAATTGCGTCAGACATATTGTCAAAGAACTATAGCAATCTACAAATTTAAACTAGTAAATGAGATTTTTTTACTTAAAACTTGTATAAATTTAATATTATTTTATTTTTAATTAAATGAGAAACTAAAGTGGTAAAATTCGAATTTATAACTCGAGCAAGACTTTAATATTATGTTAAAAAATTATATCAATTCAAAAGTATAAACTTTTGAGTAGAATCAGAAAATATGATTTACAACACACATAATCAATTATGACGCCAAAAAAGTTTACTTCTGACGCTACCTGGTAAGCTTTTCATTTCTCTTGGCACAAATCTGTTGCAGGATCCCACAATCATCATGAACTTCAATGTCTAAACTTCTAGGCATCTCGATAAGCGTAGGGAACAGAACTTCAAATCCAACAGTCATGTTCGCTGCACTTTCATCTTCAAGCTTACTTATGTTGTTGTTAAGAAATGATGTTCCTGATATGATAATAAAGCTGATCACAGGAAATCAAATACATTAATTAAAGGAAAAGATTATGCAATTACACAAGCTAATGTATTAAGTAACACCTTTAGTACATTTGTCAGGATGTAGGTTCCATGTTTTCAATGCAATTACACAAGCTAATGTATTAAGTAATCTGTCATATGCTGAAAATACATCAGCATCGCCCCATGAACCATCTGGTAGCTGATTGCTGGCAATCCATTCAAGGCAAGAAAGGAATTGAGGATTACCACTCCCATTTGCATCTTTTATGAGACCGACCCATGCAGTATTATAGGCTGAGATGCTTATCTCTCCATCGTCCATGGACCACAGCATTGTTCTAATGGCTTCAACATATTTGTTAATCTCAATTGGAATCGAAACTTTCTGAAAAAAAAAAACGACAAAATATAAACATAATTTCAGGTTTGTTTTATGCATAAAAGGGTCAAACAGTTAATTGATGTGCAAAAATTACGTACCTCAGGAGCTTCCTCTTCTGTGTCAGTCTTCACAACCTCAAGTGCTTTGTTAGATACTGCCACATAATTTTAATTAAAAGATATCAGGTGCTATCTTCATGAAAATTAAGATTTGTATCAATTTTTTTATTGATAATCGTTTCATATATGAAGAAATCAACACCATTGATTTCAAGAGAAATTATACAAGGATCCTGGAATTCTACATCAGATAAGAACCCTTTTCATTCATTGTGTGCCATGTATAAATTTTTTTTCTAGATAAAAGAAACCCTGAATAAATAAAATCCATGTTGGAAGCTTGTTGGGCTTTAATTTAAATAGAAATACATTGATGATATAGTGATTACAAAAGAAATCTCTTCTCTCTCAAAAATATTCTCTCAATAGATGCATGTTACAACACTTTCAATTTTTTTTTCTCTTGATAGCTGCTGCTATCTAAGTTTCTATTCTCTCTTTTCTCTTGTGATCTCTCTATTTCTCATACATCTTTATTACAACAAACACAAGTTCCTATTTATAGACATGCTATACCGTCATTGAGGGTTAATCTAGACAACTTATACATGACTTTGACACCTTATATCCTGCTGGAATTGCAGACTTTACAGCTCATGTATTTCATAAATTCCACCGACTTTGACAGCCCAATTCTTGCTGGAATTTCACCGACTTTTGACAGCTTATATAGTTGAAGTTTGCACCTCCTTAGACAGCAACTTGCACCACTTGTATAGGTCATTTCTAGCTAATATACATCCACTTAATCTGCACCTCCTTGTACATTTTTGTAGCTGTGATTTGTTGCTTCATTGCAATGGGTTTGACTTCCAACAATCTCTTCATCTTCTCCTTCATCCCCTATCTCTCTCTCTCTCTCTCCCCCTCCGATGGCTTGCTGCCCAACTCCTCCTTCCTCCGTCAACTCTCTCTCTCTGTGGGTGGCTCCTTCCTCCGTCGTATCTGTGTGACAACCCACAAACCATCTCTCTGTGGGTTTCTCTTCATGCTGGATTTATAGTGAAAAATTACAGTGCCAGAAAATTTGTTATCTAGAGTATCAACCTTAGGATGTTTCATCTCAACCAATATGTCTAAGAATCGGTAGAAAAAAGGGTTGCGAGGAAGAACCAAAGATGACACTTTCTATGAGATGTCGTCATATAGGATATAGGGTGGTATTCAGGATACGGGGTGGTATTCAATATCATATAGACCCATCATGCATCTGTATTTGAGCTTTCCAGATAAAGAGAAATAATGTTCATCTGATTCTAACTCAGATTTTCGATTTCTTTGTTGATGCTTGTCCGTAAATTTTTCTTGTCTCTTGCTGCTATCAATGCTCACAAAAAATAAAAAATTCAACCCGCCGGAGAGAGGGAGAGAGACAGGAGACGAAGGAGAAGATGAAGAGTTTCTTTTATCTCACGTGGAAAAAAATTTACATGTGGCATAATAAATGAAAAGGGTCCTTATCTCTTATGTGGAATTTCAAGACTCCTGTATAATTTCTTTGATTTCAAAAACAAATAGTTAGAATTTTACAAATATGATAGATTGTATTACTACTCATTTAAGAAGAGCCATTAACACTAGTAGAAAACGTGGACATTTGGGACAGAAATTTATGCTGGAAATTAATGTATCAAAAATCAGTTATGGATCACCGATCCATTTATCTGTCACAAATTTATATTTTTAATTTTTGGGATGGATTTCAACGGAAACATTTTATTTTATGATGGAACATTTTCCGTTGTGACACAAATGTTGTTTATGATCAAGAAATTTATGTCGGAAAAAAACCGTCACAAATTTATTACAAATTTAATTTTGATGAAAAATTCTTCATTTGTTATTAAAAAAATCCGTCACAAATTACTTTTTCCAAAATTTTTGGCCATATATAAGAGTTGTATAAAAAATTTCAAATCCTAAAAGCTTTTATTTAATAGTTGTGTTTAAAATAGTAATTGAAGTTCTAGTAATAATTTTATATTACTCTTCAATAATATATCTCGTATAAGAGACGACGATGACGACTACAATGACGATGATGATAAAGCAAATTAACTTCTAGTTTAGTACTGCACGTGGAGCTTATATAAGTAATATAGTATATATATAATGGCTTCGATAGAGATTAGATATTACAAATTGGAGTTTTCTATCTATTGATGACTAGTAATTTTAGTTAGAGAAAAATTTATATATGGAACATACACACACATATGTTTTATGCAAATGGGAAGGAACTCCACCCACACACATATATATATGGAATCCAAGAGAGAGTACCTGAACAATATAAAAGTTAAACATCTAAGCTCTTGGTCCATTTTTGGATTAGAAAATAAGGTAAGGTAATATGACTCTTGAACTTATTATATAACATTTCAAAACAGAAACTGTAGCCCAAGAAAGAAACCTGAATCCAAGGAGATGAAAGAGCATTCCTTCTCCTTTGATCCCTCTCTCTCCTTTTTGGAAAAGCAACCTGGGTTTTTGAATTTAGATCCATGGTTGTTGAATGTTGGTAAGCTTTTTGAGTACACCTTTAATCTCTCTCGTTTGTTTCTTAGTTCAAATCTTGGCAATCTGTCTAAGAAATGAAAACTAATTGAATTCAGTACTCCTATCATCTTTGCGTTACTAAGCTTCCCTTGCTTTCGATATGGGCTTTAACAAGTCGTTCATATATGGAAGTAAGAGAATCTAATTATTGCTACTACCTAATTTGCTGCCAAACCTTCATTAACTAGGTATCGAAAAGTATTTTTGGATTGAAAAAGCACGAGGTATTTTTTAATATTTTCTAGCTATATCAGCATATTAAAACTATCCAAAAACATATTAAAAAAAAACATTAAAATTTTATTTTTTCCATCCAAACACATTCGATTTTTCCTCCTCTCCTACCAGCATTGATCGATCGATCGGTTGATATTTTGATAAAAAATTCAATCGATCGATGCAACCAATCCTTTCTCAAATTTCTTGGTTTTTTAGTTTTGAATTAAATTTTGAAAAGAAGGAAATTTCTGATAGGATTTTACAAAGTTAACAACAGTTTATCACTCGTCATAATAAATTTGTAATTTTCATTAAATTAGTGGAACCTACAATTACATCCCATTTTAAGATCATTGATCCAAAATCCATGTGACTTCTTAGAGTTTTTTCTTATTATATTTTCTTAATGCATGTTTAGCATTGCTCTTATCAAAGTCAAGAGATTAGCCTGATGATTAAGAAAATTTGCTTCATTTTTTTATTTTTTTGGATCCAAATCTTGAGGCCAGCACCTTATGAAATTTAATAAATTCTTCCAACTTCATCAAGTCAATACGATGCATCCTTTAAGTTCGTTTGTAAATGGGTTCAGTCTTGCTTGACTTACAAGCTGGTTCGAGAATAGTTTTATCATCGAACCAAAAAAAGCATCACTGCCATTTATATTGTTAGCTTTTTGGTTTTTATCATTACAACAAGGCTAAAATGATCAAACCACAGCTAAATTTTAGTTCACTTTAAAATTAGTTTTTGAACTTTTAATTTATGTTTTGATCTTCTTGAATTTTTTTTTTTAGATTTAGTCCATCCTAAGATTTTCAATATTCACCCCTCTCTTCTAAAGACTTCAATTCTTGATATTTTGATTTGAATTTTGCACACAAGTCGAGAAAATTTTAATACATTTTCTAGAAAAAAATTTCAAAACTTTTCATGATTGGAAATTTTTTTTTTTTAACATTAAAAATGTAGAAAATTTGAAAAATAGAAAATAACTTGGAATGATTATTATTATTATTATATATATATATATTTTTGGAAGTCTATGGATCTATTTATGTAATTATTATTTTATGGGATAAATGATAGAAAATGGAAGGATGGACTATATATATATATAAAGTTCAAGAAAGTCAAAATACAAATTAGAAATCAAAAAAATAATTTTTAAATAGACTAAAATTTAGAAGAGGTTTGATCATTTTGGCGTCAAAACAAACACTTGAGTTTCATTAAGTAGTGAAAGGGGTTGAAGTTGTGGAAATAAAGGCTTGCTAAATGGGGTAATAAATACTTGACCATTTTAGCGTTAAAACAAATAGGACAATTGTTAGGCAAATTCTATTGGGTAATAAAGGTTAATGGGTCTATAGCGATACTATAGATGGTGGTCTAAAGGGGTTGAAGTTGTGGAAATAAATGCTAGCTACAACCTAATTAATTTGCTGCCACATCTTGCTGAACTTTCATTAAGTAGTTTTAACATAAAACAAAAGTAATGGCATCTAACATAATGGTTATAGAGTTTCAGCCCCTTCTCAAACCTACTCATCCTTTGATTATGTTTTCAATACGAGATATTATCCGTAACACTTTTCATCACTTACGAGCCTATCTTTTGAAGTTTGTCAAATGGCTTGAGTTTCGGAATCAACGGGCTCCTTTGAGACTCGATATCATATAAAGTTAAATAATTAAGATTTAATTCTATATAAAAAAACTTAAGCCTTATGGTGGATGATTTCTTCATAATTTTATATATTATTTATTTTATCTAACTATTTAATATGAGATATGCATTCTAATAATGAAGAAGTAAATGATGTACTCAAATCACTTCAAAAGCTTCTTCTTCCGTGTCATTCTTGAGAACCTCACATGTGTTGAACACTAGTATATGATTTCAAATATATTAGGTGTTATGGTTAATTATTTTTGAAAAATTACCTAATAGTTTAAATTTTTTATTGAGATGATTATTTGACATGTAATAAAAATATGGAGTTTATATAAAATGGTCAATGAAAAAAATAAAGAAAACAAAAAATGTAGCCCAAGAAAGAATACTTGAAACCGAGCGAGTTAAATTGTATTTTTCTTCTCCTGTAATTCTTCCATCTCCTTTTTCATAAAGCGACTTCGTATGGTGTTTGAATTTTAAATTTATATCGTTGGTCGATGGTGGCGTTGTCAAGTTCTTTCTTTTTTTATGATCGGTTCAAGAATTGGCAATTTGCCTCAAAATGGAAAGTGAATTGAATTTGATACTCCTATCATTTTAGGGTTACTATGCATGATCTCCAACTCTTCATGTAGGCTTTAACGGCTCTCGATAAGAGCATCTCCAATGGTGCTCTTTACTTTTAGCTAGCATTTTTAATGTAAATAGAGAGCATCATTAATTATATAGATTGAAGATCAATATCCTCTCTAATGTTACTCTCTACTTAACTCTTTATTTTGACAAAATCTATAAAACCTAGGGAGACTATTGGTGAAAAGATTGAGTGGCATAGGAAATAGTAATTTTTATTAATAAAATATAAGATAAAGAGTCATTTGGACTCTATAGTATTGGAGAGCTAAAGACACTCTCTATATCAATTTTAAAGATAGAGATTGTGATAAAGAGAGCATTGGAGATAAAATTTGGATCAAAACTCTTTATTATAAAGAAAAATCTTAATATAAAGAGAGCATTGGAGATGCTCTAAGCTCATGTAAATAATCCATGCACACTAGCTTCATTAACTTGGTTGTTTGATTACTTAATAAATTGTAGTTCAACTACCATTAATATTCATCTTTCTTTCAAGAAGTTTTAAGTTCTAACCTCTCCTTTATAACTACAAGAATCTAGTATAACTTTTCAAGTAATGCTCGCTTATTGATCAAAAGGTTGTTTTGATATTAAAATAAGTATTCAATCCTTTTTTCTTCAGCTATGCCCATTTTTAGCATTAATATATTAACATTCCTAATGGTTTTATGACAAAAATTATTTATGTTCTATTACAATTTGACAATTTTAGATTTTTATTATCAATTTGAATAATTTAAAACCTAAAATATCTAATTTGGGGCAAATCTTATCCAAATTTGTTAATTGTAAGTTGGCCGTTAATTTTTCTTTCGTGCTCGTTACTTTTTTCATCGTTAATTTGAAAAAAAAACATTAAATTTTTTTTCTCTATTTTTCAAGAGATTTTTTCTACCTATTTACCTATAAATAAATAAATAAGTTCATTAAATTTATCGCTATTTTTTTCTCCCCGAAAAATAACTTTCACTTTTTGAACCTATCTTTAAAAAACTTAAAAAAAAAAATTTAAAAATTAAAAAAAAAAGGTTTACGAACTCTAACAATTTTAAATGCATATTATATATTTGAATCAATTGTTAGAAAAAAAAATCTTATAAAACTTGTGAAGATAAAAAAAAATTAAATAATGCAACTATATTTAAAATTTAATGATTGACAATCAAAAGAATAAATTTATTGGCATGATAAAGAAAATTTTTGGTTAAAATTAATTATTTGATAATTTAAATTAATCAAATTCAATCAATAGATATTTTTATTTTATTAATTATAAAAGTTGATTGTTTTAATGGATAATGATACTTCATAAAAGTTTTTTTTCAATTGAAAAAATTATATACAAATAACAATTTGATTTACTATGAAAAATCAAAGATATTAATATGTGAAAATTTTAAATAGAAAGATTTTAAATAGAAAGTGTCTTTCCGGAAAAATTGAGGAAAAAGGTTTTTAACATTTAAAAGAAAAAAATAACGAGAGGAAAAAATAATAAAAAATTTAATAGTCAATTGAGTTGACTATTACAATTAATAGATTTGAATAAGATTTGCTTAAAAACCAATATTTTTACCATTAAACTCATTACTAATGAAGGTTTTGTTGCATTATTAAAGCATAATTTGTACTTATCTTCACCTTACCGTTGCCTTTGGCCACTTGAATAGCTAATAATTTTTGGAGTGGATACCAACCAAAATTTAAAGAATGTGCAGTTTATTTCTGAATTTTTATTGGTATATTAGTTTGTTTTTATTGCTTTTGTGCTTTTTCTATAAAGGTATCTTTTGATTTTTTGATGCTCTTTTCTCTGCTTAAAACCCAAACCCAAAAGCCAAACCGCTAAAGGCATTGTATATACTTTACCAAAGCTTTGAGGATTGGATTTAATGAAAAAGTTTCAGCCCTAACCTAATTATTTTTAATTTTTAATTTAAGTTGATTTTTCATTTAAGAATATAGGGAAAATTATATAACAAATTTTTTAAAAAAATATGAAAAAAATTGATGAAAGAAGATGAAACTTATAGAAATAAAATAATATTAAATTAAAAATAATCAATACCGAATAAAAAAATTAAATAATTATTTTTCGACGCAAAAGAGACTAATAATTAGTTTTTCAAACCATGAAGGACTAATTCATAATTTACGCATTCCTTCTGTTCTTGCACAAATTTATTGATGTGGGCCTTTCGACCGAGATGGATGGCCTGCTAACAATAGGCCCATGAACTACCAACAACAACGGCAAGCAGTCTGTCTATTTCAAGCCCACAAAGGTTTTGCAATATATCCATTTCCATTTCCATACACACATATACATATACATATATATAGTGGCTTGTCTGGTGGTCGTTTTCAGTTTTTATCACTTGGGCCCTCTACCCGTACACCAAACCTCGATTAGGTCCATCCAAATTGGTTAATGTTTTCCATATAAATTACCTATTTTATGAAATAATTAAAAAAAGTGCCATTTCTTAAGAGAACATAACGTTGTTGTCATAAATTTACAACGACTTTGGTTCAAAGTACTCGATTGTTACACACAGGAGATCAATTTAGGGTCATCATTTCAATAATCTCAAATTAATGTTTTGATGCAGAAAAATAGATAATATCAATCAGCGCATACATAAATCTTGAACACAGGAGACAAAAACACTTGGCAATCCTTAAACCCTTTCGAAAAGTACTTTAGTAATGTGGTAGTTAATTGTCTGAGAAGTGCAGAACGCAGTGTAGTAAAAACTCTTCGCAACCGCAAGAAATCTTTGCTTGATATTGGAGTCCATCCCATCTCCAGAATTTTGGAGTACTAACTGCACCAGTTCTTGCATGCCAGACTCTATTTCTGCGATCATGATTCTCTCGCAGGTGGTGCTGTCCCTACCTTTTTCCTGTGCCTGAAAAATTGTGAGGAAGAAAAAATTAATCTAGGATGAGCCATCAAATCAAGATTATAAAATGCATTGAAGCTAGGCAAATTAATTAGAAGGTTTCAAGTTAGCATTCATCATCTCCTGAACTGACCTTATGCTTCTGGTAATGCCGAAGTTGATAGGATAATCGGTTGGTGAGGTTGCAGAGTTGCTCAAATTGAAGATTATGCTTCGGGGAGACCCAACAACCAGCTGTGAGAATCATTGTTTGAACCAGTAGTTCTGCTTCTCCTTGATGCCTATCTCCTTCCGTTTCCCACTTCAGCAGCCACTTTTCCCACTGAAAAGGAAAATGAAAAAGCATTGTCATCATGGTCTCTAGCTAGTTGAATAGAAAAGGAACATTGTATCCAATAAAGGACAGAGTAATCAAACTCACAGCTTGATGTAAACTATCTCTAGCATCTCGACCATGAGTTGTCAATGCATCAAGAGACAGATGATTTATAGTTCCAAGCAACAAGCTAACAAGTTCGTGTGTTGTTTTTTCCCTATCCGATTTCCAAAGACAATCGAAAAGGGTTAGCAAATAATTAATGCATTAATTTCAAGAAGAACGGGATTACGAGTTAAGACCATATTTTTCTGTCTGCGAATATATATATATATATATATATACCTTCCATTTTCACCAATACCGTTTTTGAATTCATTGACGAAAGCTCTTCTCTGCTGGCAGGAATTGTTTTCTGCATCAAAAAATGACCCAATAGTTTCAAGCAAGATTGAGGTTTTTGCACATGCTAATCGCTCTTTGGACCTTTCTGGCTCGAATAAATTAGCTGCGGCAAGAAAATAAGCAAAGAGGAGGTTTCTTTTGCTTATCCCAAAATCTCTTAGATTACATTCTTCATACCATCTGTGTATGATAAAAATGTCTAGTTAGAATTAAGCTGATGGCTGAATTACAAATATCGCCAAGGTTTTAGGGATCATGTTAATGGCTTACTTTTGAAAATTTTCCCATTCAATACAATGCAAAGCTTGGCAATTGTTGTAGTCTAGTTTTGCAAGATACAAATACAAATTGTTGTTTACATTTGGCATCCTGCAGTAAACAAAGATCATTATATAATAGCATATATAAAGTGAGCATAGAAATACAAAGATTCACAATCACAAGAGAAGTGACTCCAAGAAAGAGAGGTGGTTTGAATGGTGAAGGTAAAAGTAGTACTGTCAGAGAATAATATATATAAAACTATATTATTTACTTCAATTAACATTTAAAATTTTTTGGTGTACATAATTTTTTTGGCAAATCTAAAGTTTTCTTGGAAACACATATTTCCTATTCTATCCAAAATGATGTTTTCGGATTTTTTTTATTTGACCATAAAAATATTTTTGTACCAGTTTGATCGTCAATCCAGATAAAGTCTCTTTTCGAACGATTTTAAAGGCGCACACTTCATGTATTGAGAAAAATTCAATATATTCTTTTGGATGCCAACTCCAAGGTTTGAATTGAAGTCAAGGAAAAGAGCAAGTCTCTTCAACTACCAAATCAATCCCAAGCTTACGGGAAGTGCGTGATTGGAGTTCAATACTCTTGCTAAGAGAGAGTATTTTTAAGTATTAAAGCTTCCTAAGGGCAAATATGAAGTTGGGGAAAAATTCTTAGGTTAGATTATACGGACTGTCATAGGCTGATTGCTAAATATATATGGATAAATACCACCTTGAAACCAAAATCCCAAGCTTATGGGGTCATGTATCCTCAAGACATTCCAACTTTTGACAATATTAGAAGTTTAGAAATATGGAAAGCAATTGAAGGTGGCCTCAAAGATATCAAATAAAATCTGAACTAAATTCAGGATATGAGAGTCTCATCTGTCAAAAGTTTCAGAAGATCAACACCTCCTCTTTCAATTGATCAAGAAACTTGTAGAAGTTGAAAGATTAATGAGAAACTGTTTCCATTTTCAAAAAGAACAAAAATGATTTTGTTCAACTTAGGACTAATGAATAGAGAACCAAATCCTGGCAAGGGTAAAGAGAGAGAAAAACAAAGAAGTTGTACCTGTACAGAGTTTTGCCAATCCATATGTCGTTTTCGCCGCCATACTGTTCTATGTAGAACCTCGCTTCCACTCTAGGCAAGCTTGCATACCATGGAACCTCCAATGCAAATCCCACCTGTTATGATTAGTTCAGTTTGTTAATTAGATAGGCTCCAAATTTGGTATAGAAACTACAAGATCCTTCATCTTAACCTGACATGTATACCTCTCCAGGCAAGTCTTTGCTTATAATCCATTTATCCAGGAGTTCGTTGGCAGCCTGTTTTTCTCTTAAGAATTTGGATGAAAATTCCTTGGCATTCTCAAGGATATTCTCTCCCAGAAACTGAATCTGAGAAGCCCTATACAGGTTGAACATAGCAGTAACAGACTCTTTCGACTTTCCCGGAAAGCAGAAGAATTCACCACCTTTCTCAAAATACTCGAACACATCTGCCAAACAAAGAAAACTCTGGATTACAAATTATTGATGTAAATATATAGTTTCATCAATTTTCATGGATCTTCGGTCATGGATTTACCAGCGGAAACCTGGTAGCCATTCAATCTAAGTATCCTGAATCCCATAGATGTGTCGTCGATATTAGGAACACCGAAAAAATTACTTCCAGAGCCGATGCCACTATCTTTCCAATGTCTGAAATTCGAAACATACCACTTTCACATCTCATCTAATAGAGTGTGTGTGTGTAAATGGGATTTTTAATCTGCTTAACTCGTCAAGTACCTATAGACATAATCAACACATTGTTTGCTTTCTGCCTCGAAATATCTAGAGATTCCTAGTCGCTGCAGGCGGTCCACAGCCCAGTTGGGCTCGAAAAAGTCAAGTGGGAAGACATTTGGGACTGAAGAAAGATAGAAATGCATAAATTGATAACCAAACGGATCAAAATTGTAGGTAAAATTTGGAGATGGTATGAAAGACAGGACAACTTCACCTGCCCCTTTGAATCTTTGGACTGTCTTAGTCAAATATCTCAAGCAGTTTTCATCTTTAGTCTGCATGAATGCAAAGGCAGTGGAGGATGGAGAGGAAAAGAAGGATCCCTCTTGGCATTTCAATTTTAGAATCTTTTCCCAGTCCAGGTTCAGCAACCCTTCCAAGCTAAACAGTAGTGTTGTGGGCTCGTTGTGAATCATGTCCTTTGGAATCCTTTCTCATATAGAATAATCGTATTATATATATATAAGTATTTTTTTTTCTCATTATAATGGAGAGGTTAGAACTGAAAATCTCTCAAGAAAAGCTGGCTTTAATGTTACTCTTCTTTCAAAAAGGTTAGAGTTCAATCCTCTTTATATATATATATATATATAATTTCTACAATATTATAATTTAATAATGATAAAAAAAAAAAAAAAAATCTACTCTGCTACCTGGTAAGCTTTAGATTTCTGCTGGCATAAATATCCTGCAGGATCCCAAGATCATCAGGAACTTCAATGTCTAATTTTCGAGCCATCTCAAGCTGTGATGGGAAAACAACTTCGAAGCCGATAGTCATGTGCTCTGCTTTCTCCTCTTGAAGCTTACACAAATTGAGTTTCAGAAATGACATTCCTGATGATATAATGGTAAAGGTGATGCCAGGTTAGCTTAACAATAAAATTATGCTAAACCTAAATTATAACTTTTTGTGCCATTCTAACTATATATGATACCTTTATGACATCTGTCAGGATGCAGGTTCCATGTTTTCAAAGCAATCACACAAGCTAATGTACTAAGTAATCTGTCATATGCTGAAAATACATGAGCATCACCCCATGAACCATCTGGGAGCTGATTGTTGGCAATCCATTCAAGGGAAGATGGGAACTGAGGAGTGCCACTCCCATTTACATCTTGTATGAGAGCTACCCAAGCAGTATCATAAGCTGAGACACTTATCTCTCCATCTTCCATAGAGCACAACATCGATCTAATGACTTCAACATATTTGCTAATCTCATTTGAAATCCAAACTTTCTGGCAAAACAAATTACCTCAACATAACCACAATTGCATAAAAAAATAAAAAGGTTGCACGCAACAAAAGGAGCAAAAGTAATGTACAAAAATCACCTCGTCAAGTGCTTCCTCCTCCGTGTCATTCTTCACAACCTCAGGTTTTTCCAGCACTGGCAGATATTTTTAATTTAAACGTATCATGATCAGGTGTTGATATGCTCCAAAATTAAACGATTTATCATAATTAATTCACACCATGATTTCTCAAAGATTAGCTATATTTTCCAAGATGGCAAATCATGTCAAAATGGAGCTTTGCAAGATTGCTCCAAACATGTGAAGATATTATTCAAAAAAAAAAAAAAAAAACATGATATATACATATATGTGTTAAAGCACTGTTTTAATTTAAAATCTTAAGTTTTTGTATCAAGTTCTAAGAATAACTTTATATTACCTTTTACTATCTTGTGCTGAAAATTTTAATTTAAGCAAAAAAAAAAAAAAAAACAAAGATTGTTGGATTCAAATATTTCTGTCATTTACATCTATAATACCAAAAAATCATCTTCGCATTAAAATTTAAGTTTTTGGATAAGATTACGAAAATTTTATTATATTGTCTCTAATAATATAATATAAAATAAGATTCTATTGTCAAGTAAAAAAAAAACAATTTTGCTTCATTAGAATCAGAATTAGCTGTCCAAAAAATTTTAATACAAGGACTATTTTGAATTTTTATCATATCTTGTACTCTAACAAAACAAATCATGGCTTTTAATTAGAAAGAAGCATGCAATTAAAAAATAAGCTCTTTTTTTTTTTTTTTTTGGTTCTACGGTAAGGATACCTGAATCATAATAGGTAATAAAAATTTTAAAATCCAACATTTTACGATATGAGAAACCAAAAAATAAAAAATTAACAATCATGGTGCAATATTGTTAACTTTTTGGATTACAAAAGAAAAAAGAAGCAAATTAATGTAATAGAACTCTTGAGCTTAAAACACAAACTTTACGTAGCCCAGGAAAGAAACCTGAAGCCAATGAGCTGGTGAAAGAGTATGCCTTCTCCTTTCTCGAAAAGCAGCATGGGTTTTTGAATTTAGATTGATGGTTTTTGAATGATGGTAAGCGTTTTCTGTAAACAGCATTCTCTCCTTTGTTTCTTAGTTCAAGTCTTGGCAATCTGTCTAAGAAATGAAAACTAATTGAATTCAGTACTCCTATCATCTTTGCCTTCGATCAGTATGGCCTTTAACACCCTCCTGGTTTGTCCAGATAAATAGTCCTCTGTAAAAGTTCAAAGTAGTCTTACATTAAAGTAATGATTTAGTAAACTTGAAGATAATCTACCCTAATTTAGAAATATGAATCCTCTTAGCGTATTTATTACCAAAAATAAACTACAAGTATTAAAAACAAGTTAGGAAAAAAAAATCCTTAATATTAAAGCAAATTTTGTTACCAATAATGGTAGCTACCTACCTCATTCCTATTATTAGTTAATATTTATGTAAATACCTACAAGCACAGTGTATCTGATAGCTTCCATCAATAAACATGTTCGAGTATCATGTAAGAGAAGAAAATTGTAAGAAAATCTAAAAGATTTAAAGTGATTATTATTCATTTACTATTCATAAACACTATTCATTTAATATTATTCTATAAAGTAATATTAGTGTGATTTTTAAACTTTATTTAGACATTTGATATGATGTATTAAATGACATTATTGTGATTTTTAAACTTTCTTTAGGTATTTGATATGATATTTATGTAATTTTGGACCTATGTTTAGGTATTTGATTTGCAAGTTTGGACAAAATTTTATGATAAAAACCTCCTCATTCGTCTAATTATTGTTGGGAAAATTGAGGATTGGAGTAGTGCGTTCATGCTAATTTACACAAACATACATAGAATTTTACCACATATAAAGCAAAATTGGAGTTTCAAAATTGAAAATGATTTGGCAAAAATACTTTTGGAGACAAATTTAGTATTAAGTTAGATGTAGTACATTTTTTAGAAAAGATCGCTTTCGGGTGATTAAATATCTTATTAAAAATGTAACCAACTTCTTATCCTAGAATATCCGAACTAGTGTCTATTTTAGGTTCTTAATTCTTTCAATACTTGAGTGATGACTCCAAACTCTGTAAAGAAATTCAGCAAATAAATAAAATCTTAAACTAGAGATTTTTTTAAGATTTTTTAGAAGTTTCGTCCGTTGTCGGATAACAACACCTTGTATTGTATGCTTTAGTTGGATAAGTGACATCCTTCAATCCAAACAAACAGGCAACAATGTTTCGAAGGGCTAGGAGCTTCATCTCCAGTTAACTCTGTTATCAACAAGTCTGAAGAATAAGTGGCAGTAGTCAACTTCTAGTGGACTATTCTTCCTCGCTTTTGTTCTTGCTTTCTATCATCTTCAAGCTTGCACAAGGTTTCTTTGAAAAATGACATATCAGCTGCGATCGATCTTTGGGCATAAGATCATCGGAAAACAATGATTAATTGATTAGCTTAATGAATACTGACAGAACTTAGAGAAAGTTTGAATTTTGAGACTGATTTGTTAATGATTATATAAGTTGAAAAGTATTTGCCCATATCCCATAATTTAAGCATAAAATAAAATTCAGAATTATTGTTGATTATGACCTTTTGTTACGATATGCAAAGCATCTAGTCAAACCAAGTCAAAACTATTGAAACTTAGCATTGGTTTTACTTGATATCGAACACGTCATTATTTAATAGTTTTATACGATCAAATAAAATCAAAAATCAATTACTCGAATAGATCCAATGAAAAATTAGGCACTCAAATAGTATAAATAACGAAGGTTGGACATTGAAAAAGAGACTCACTTTTTATGCAAAACATGTCGTCAAAATTGTTAAAAAAGGATAAAACTTAGCATTGGTTTTATTCACGTTGTCATTTAATAGTTTTAGGTGATAAAATGCATTAAAAAAAGAATAAAAAATAAAAAATTAATTATTCAAATAAATAAAATAAAAAGTTAAACACTTATACAGAATAGAAATTATTTTTTTTCTAATTTAGAACAAAATTCTTTTTCATCTACGTATCAGTATAAAAATTATACATTAGTTAATATTAATCATATCGGTCGTACAAAAATCAAGCACCAGTTAATACCGATTATATCGAATTTTAACACTCTCAAATAAATAACACTTAAAAAAACCCAAACTTTCATCACTCAAATAAATAAAATTAAAAATTAAAATCAAACAAAATTAAAAATCAAAATTTAAGCAGTGAAATTCCAATTTTCTCTTTTTAATTTCATGGCAAAGAATATGGTGCAAGACTTTTCGGTTATGGCAATATATTGGAAACCTGCAGATGGAAAAGTCCAAAACAATCGAAAAAAGCCCAACTTACACAATTTTTTAAGTTTCATTACAGCCCAAGCAAAGTCCAAAACAAAGCCCGTATTTTAGGTCTAAAACAGACATTTCCGTATTCTAAAACCCTAGCCAGCATCATATCTATATATACTCGTTTAGTTCTTCAAAACCTAGCTCTGTCCCTCTTTCTCCTAGTCACCAAGCAGCGATAGAGAAGCAAAAATGCCGCCAAAGTTTGACCCATCTCAGGTGGTCGACGTCTACGTGAGGGTAACCGGAGGGGAAGTTGGTGCTGCCAGTTCCCTTGCTCCCAAAATCGGTCCTCTTGGTCTTTCTCCCAAGAAAATAGGTGAAGATATCGCCAAGGAAACAGCTAAGGATTGGAAGGGCCTCCGTGTTACCGTCAAGCTCACCGTCCAGAATCGTCAAGCCAAGGTCTCCGTCGTGCCATCTGCAGCTGCTTTGGTTATCAAGGCGTTGAAGGAGCCGGAGAGAGACAGGAAGAAGACAAAGAACATAAAGCATAATGGGAATATCTCTCTTGATGATGTGATTGAGATTGCTAAGGTTATGAGGTCGAGATCAATGGCTAAGGAGCTGAGTGGTACTGTGAAGGAGATTTTGGGAACTTGTGTTTCAGTTGGGTGTACGGTTGATGGGAAAGATCCAAAAGATTTGCAGCAGGAGATTACTGATGGTGACGTTGTGATTTCTGAATGAGTGAGATATTGTTGTTCTTTTTTTTTAAGTTTTGGAAAGATCCCATCTTATGTTTTTGTCTAATCTTATGGTATCTGGATGTTTAAGGATGTTTTTTACGGTGATTTACTACTTTCTTAATTAAGAGTATTTTAGCTGCTTGCTTATTTTTTTGTGTTTCTGTTTTGTTTTTCTCGTTGAATTCGGTTATGTGATTAGTTTTGATGATTCTGCTTGAAAAATTATGTTCTTGTGCATGCGTAAAGATGGAAGTTTAGTGATGGAATATTCATTTATATTCTTGTTTGGAATATAAATCATTTTCTTCTAGGTAATTCTTTGATGGGTCTTGCTTGTAGAATGGGGATGGATGGATGAAGATTCTTTGATTGTAGAATGTGGATGAATGGATTGATAAAGAGTAAGAAAGCATGCTTATTGTTGTTTCTGTGGGTAGATAGAAACACTAGATTCCAACTTGTACCATGGCATCTGCAGGAGTAGGGCAGATTGTTTTCTATTGTGGCTGGGGCATAGGGATTGAGAAGAATAAGTTATAATGAATGCATGAGTTAACTTGGAATTTTAATTTTTTAAGCTGTTTTCCTTAGTAGAGAAAAGATTTCCAGGGGAATAGAAAACATTCACCTGCAAAAGCTAGTCCTTGGAGGTGTTGTCTGTTTTATCCAGCTTTACCTTAGTTTATGTCTACAACCTGGTTTGTATGTTTTGCCATGTAGCTTTACGTTTAGTTTGATCATACTAGTTGAGATTCCATTTCTCCTAAATCCGTTTGACCTGGACATCCCATCATCTTGTATGCACTGTGTGTAGAAATGGTGGGAAATTTTTGTGCAATTAGATTGCAAAACATTCTAGGTAATTATTGACTATGATCTGATAGATTTTTTCTTTTTATTACATGAAATGATGTTTCTGTCTAGGACATATCACCCGTCTTATTCATTGCCTCCTTTGCTATTTGCCCTTTGATTTTGCTAGGCAATATTCTCCTGCATTTTGGCCAGTTCTCTGTTGTGAGAATTTTTCATCAAGTACGATTTAAGAGATAGTTTACTGATGTATTCTTTAGTGTGAATTTAGGGATGGGTAGTGCCTATCTGAATCTGATGCAATTCCCTATGTGGATGGAAAGTGAATTTATTACTCAACTGATGATAAAGAAAGAAATTCTAGTCAGTTTTAGTTTACTTTTTGCATAGGGAATCCAGTTCTCCATAGTCATTATCCAGCTTCACTTTCTCTAGTGAAGCTAGTTCTGTTGTGAGAATTTTTGCTGTTTTATCCAGTTTCATTCTTAACTCTTGTAGCTTTCCAATCTAATTTGACACCACTCGAGTTCATCTCATCTGCTCTGTGTGATTACTATCTGCCTGATAGATTTGATTGTTCCTTTTATACATAAAATTATCATCTTCCTACTACTGGTTGTTACCTGACCCATTCATTGATGGAGTTGATATGATGGAAATTGAAGTGCAAATGCTTCTGCTATAATTGGGCTTGCATTTTTTGCTGGGGAATTTTCCTGTGCTGTTAGGTCTTGTTGATGCATTTTATCTCTGAATCTCTCCCAAGTTTCTTACTGTTCATCAAGAGGCAGTTTGCTGATATATTACTTGGCATGGCCGAAGAGATTCGTGCTGGATTTGTGATAGTGGATGCGTTAGATTCCACTGATTCAACATTAATTTTTAAAAAATTAACTGAGACTTCTTCCATTTCCCGCTCCCCAGCTATTCTAATGTTGTTCAGGGAATTCTTGGAGGTTTTGTTTGCTTTTAACTGATGAGTGAAGAACCAGGGTTTTACGTGCACTTGCCAAAGGTCACAGCATTCCCATGGTTATATGCAATCTCTTTAACTTCGATGCCAAGCCCAACCCATGTGCAAAGGAATCCTCATGATTAAGCAACTTGCACCTCTGTTTTGCTAGTAAAGCACCAAAGCCATGTCAAAAGCTCTGTAGTTTCCAAAGCAAATGCCTCTTTTCCCATTTTGGTTTGCAGAGCATTCCCAGCTTAAGCAATCTTTGTTTCAACTTGGCCGAGGAGAATTGCAATGGAAAGTACTTCCAACCAGTTTATTACTAATGATGCTTTCAACTGAAGTACTCAGATTATCAATCAAGTTCGTTCGATCAGCCAGATTTAACTGTATTGTGTTTACAAATGTCAGTGGCAACGATGGTAGCTGGCCGCTGAAATTTGCTGCAAACAGCAATATAAATACAGCAAAGATTCTTGATCCACAGCTATATAAACCCTTACTAATTAAATTTTGACACATTCCTGGCATACGACTCGGAAGAAACAGAACTTAAAGCAATGAGTTTCAGGGATTTAGACAAATGACATCATTTCTCTGTGTTGATAAAAGTAGCTCCATCTAATCAGCTTTGCACTGATTTCCGAACTATGCTGCACCTTAGCATTCTGGCGTATATCAGAGCAATACGTTTTTTTTTTTCTAACATGTAGCGAAGTATTCTCCAATTAGTTTCGATCAAAAGTAAATCCATTATTTTCTGAATTAATTTAGTATGGAATCATGTCTGCCTTTAAGCTCACTATAAATAATATAAAAGTGTGGAATTTATTTAAAAATGTTTCAAGAAAAAAATATAATCAGTTTGCTTATCAAATCAAAAATCAGAAAGGGACTTAGTTTTATTATACAAAAATTGATTTGAAAATACTCTTATTGTATTATCATCTGAAGTTCGTATAATAAAAAATTAAATAAATCTTTTTTTAAGGAAAAATTAACGAACACTCTCATGAATTAAATGATCAAAAACTTCAACAAAATTATTGCTTATGCCATTGTTTTCTGTTCTTTAAAATTTGTAATCTCTTTTCCTTATTTATTGAAAAACTCATATAAAAAAGAAGTTTCTTTTTAATAGTCCTTGTTCTTGTATTGTATATATAAGCAAACCCCCCAAACAAATTCAATGGAAACATCAATACTCTATAGACTTAAGACCGTAGTATAAAAATTTCACAAAGACATTACAGGCAGGACTATTCTCAGGAACATCCTGAGATGGAGGTAATTAGGCAGCCCCATGTGTTGTTTTTACTCTACCCAGCCAGTTTCTGGAGTTTCAGGACATAGTCATAGACTTTCTGTGGATCAGCAAGAGATTTGGTCACACTCTCCTTCTCCTTGCACCTTTGCACCCATGTCATCAACTTTGGGCACTCAGCTTCAATGCTGAATCCACCACAGGATTCATAGGAGAAGAACCAGCAGTAATAAGGAAGAATTGCAATGTCCAGGAATCCAAAAGTTTCACCTCCAAAGTAAAGCTTGTCTCCAAGCTCTACTTCTAAAATCTTCAAGCTCTCTATCATCTCCTCCTTTGCTTCCTCTTGTACTTCTCCTTTGGTCATTAGTATCCTCTTTCCACTATCATAAATCTGCTCATATTTCACGTTTGTCAGAGGGAAACTACAAACGAGTATTAGAGAGATTTCTGAAAAAAGATTAAATTTTAGCTGACCTTCTTGTCAACAAAATCAACCCAAAACCTTGCTTGTGAACGACGGTAAGGATCAGAGGGCAACAGATTAGGAGACTTGTCTTTCCAAACCTCATCAATGTATTGAAGGATGATCACAGATTCACAGATGGGTTTTCCGTTGTGAATCAGAACAGGAACCATTTTATGAACTGGGTTCGATTGGAGGAGTAAAGGGCTCTTATCAAGCATGTTCTCTTCCTTGTATTCATATTCGATCCCTTTCTCTTCCATGACTATTCTCACCCGCATCCCAAATGTACTTACCAAGATACCAAGGAGGATCACTTCTTCAGCCATCTTCAGAGCCTGACCAACTGATCTATTCTCTTGTAATTGGCTATGATGGTAGTATGAGTTTGGATGAGATTATTGCATATATTTATTGGGGAGGTATGGCTGGTAAACGGACGAGACTAGTGCATATGTATATAGTGGAGGCATGGCTAGTGAACTTCAGGATAGTCAATTCCTTCAGAATTTTTTATTACAGGCTGAGACACTTGGTCTTTCTTTATATTATGCTTTGCCAACTGAAATTTCAAAGAATTTGCATTGCTGACCGTCACTTGGAAAGGATGAAAAAGAAAACCGGATAGTTCTTGTCAGCTCTGCAGTAGCATATCGTTCGTTTCGTCTCCAAAATATAAAACTAGTGCATATACATATAGTGGAGGCATGGCTAGTGAACTTCAGGATAAGAACATATTTAATAAATACTGAAAGCTCTCGGGTAGAGTATTACATAATTATAAAATGGAGCCTTCGTGTTAAATAAACAACATATTCTGCCGTCTTCAGTCTACTCTCTTGAATTTCAGAAACAAAAACATGCAGATTCAATTTCCAAGTAGTTTCGTGGCTTCTATTCCAATGGCAGTAGTTAGGCAATTGCTTATCAAATTACAATGAGAAGAATGCCCCCCGTTAAGTGATGAACACGATTATAAAAACAGTTGCTTTTGCAAGTCGCAACTTATCGCAATAGTAAAATATAGACCACGATAACCAATGTCGTATCATTAGTAGTAGTTAATAAATTTATTCTAAAACAAAGAATTAAAATATTTTTTTTAACAATAATATAACTGGCGTTATTTGGGTTGTTATTCACCAAATAATGGCAATAACAACATTATGCGATAAAACGGACTCTCTATAACGTTGTATAACGAAAACAGACATGCCCACCATTATTTGGAACTATGTTCTCAAATTAAACAGAAATGGTAAGCTTTGGCCCGAATTAATCAAAGTTGAAGAGGAGAAACAGGACAGCACAAATCTTTCAGAGTCAAGTACAATACATATCAGTTTGTAGAAAAAGCTTGTAATTTTAGGCTTCTCTTAGGAAGCCAACATGCGACCAAAACTTAATGACATGATGGGAAAAAGAAATTGATGGCATGAATAAGTGTAAGAAACTCAATCATGAAGACACTGCAACCATGTTGAGGCAGAATTTAAGAAAATATTCAACACTCTCACCAAATTGGTTAAATTCAAAGAAGAACAACTGTGTCCTTGAAAACACAAACTACAGATCAAACAACGGAAAGAAAATAATATGGAAAAGGCAGAGTTTGCACATTCTTATGGACAACCCAGTTTACTTCATCCATGATTATTGTCAAACATCAATGGGTAGAAACTCAAAGAAACTTCCTGTAAGGCCTACCTGCATCTTCATCTTGCATATTCTGTCACCAAAGATATTTAAGTGTTAGGATACCATTAAGTGAACAAAATCATTCACAGTCTAAGAATCACTTCTAAACAAGATGATCCAAAAGATCACGAGACATAGAATGCAGTATAGAGGCAATCCAAGGCTTAGGTAAAGGATCCATAGTTTTCACTAGCCAGGTTAGATTGATTCTACATCATACAAAATGAACTCTTGACTTCAAACAAGCAAAATTAGTGACGAAAACTTTTTAGCCATACAGAGAACAACAAGAAAAAAAAGTGTAGACAATGGATTTAATGCCTGTCTATGATTTATGGGGAAATACGCTCATGGAACCAAAAAGGCAAAAAAGTTGCAGCTTAAATGGCAATGCATAGTAACATCCATGTTTCAAGAGGCCACATTCCTGATGAAGTGCTACAATATTTGAGCATATGAAACTGATCAATGTTAAGCCACCAAAAACAAAAACTTCAAAAAATTGGAATGAAATTAACACAAAAGAATGGGTGGCAAATTATTAGACATGGTATTGAATAAGGTCAGAAGCTCCAAAACCAAGAAGGCCGAAGTTCATTTTGTGCATTTCAGCCTTTTGAAACGAACTTAAAGATGACGGGATTTATTATTATCATCGATAGAAAATCACCCCTCTCATCTTTTCCTTTTATTACATTTGGAATGAGTAATCATTCTTTCCCTCTGCCATGTGATTTGTCTTTAAGCCTTGAAGATAGAGATCGAGGGGGGAACCCTTGAAACAGTAAGTTTCTTTGTTGGCTGTTATACTGGTTGAGCATTTTTCTTAGTTAAACTGTAATTTTTAGGCATAGATGCATCGTGCAAGAAAGAAAAGAACTTCTAGTTTTCCATACTGAAAATGGGGCTAATGAACAGCTATGAGCCCACCCTACCAAACAATACTGACTTCCGACCAACCCAACACAAGTTGTGAAGTTCACTCTACCACTAATTGGAGGAAAGAAACAACAGAAAGGATGATATCAAAAGACAAGGAGCTTTGTGCTGTTTTCAGTTTCTGAATTAAAAAAAATAAACAAAGTTCTGAAACCTCTAATATTTTTCTAAAGTTGCAAAACTTCACCTAACAATATATTTGCTTGGGCCACATATGAAACATCGCAAGAGAAACATGAACAATTATTTTGTTTCTCTTATGAATTTCCACGAGCAACCAAACCAAGCATCAGCAGAGCATATGCTAATCAAGATCAAGTGAAAAGTAAACTATTCGTTTTTTTCTGTTCCCCTTTTCTGACCGTAACTACAACCAACCTTATCCAACCCAATATTTGTTTTAAGAATAGAAAACGAAATAAGCCAAAGGCAGGGGAATATTATTTATGTTGAATAGCTAAAGCTTCAATTAATTTCCAACCAGATCCAAGGCAAAGACTGTCCATAGCAAAAATAGCCGATCATTCACCATGGCTTTATGCCAGTCCCTCCTTTCTATATGCCAGAAATGAGTCTAACTTAAGAACTCCGAAAGCATAAAAAGATACTTTCCAGATTTCATAAATTGGCAAAACTTGCCAGTTCTCTACTTAGTTAACTTTCACATTTCAAGGTGACATTCATTTTTTTTTTAGACATTCTTCTTCTTAGCATCAATCCACTACCTTTCAACAAATATTGCTCCTTCCATTAGTGTTTTTGGGTTCTCTTGGATTAACTCATACAGATATCTTACAAATGCACATCATTTCCATAATTAGAATGAGAACCCATCACACTTAGCTACAAATCTTCATTCCCAAATCACCTTACAAAATTAATCAACAAAACCTAGCACCACAAACAATCAACTAAGAAAAAGCAATCCCATTTTAAAGCTAAACCCTGAAACTGAAAACATTTAAATCGCTCAAAAATTTCAACTTGAACACAAAAACCCAATCTACAAAGACTCAACAAGATCAAAACTAAATCAACAAAAACCCAAGACAGAAAAAAGAAAACCCACTCCAAAAATCAAATAAAAAAAGAAAGAAAGAGGAGGAAGGGTGAAGGAAAGTACGAATTCTTTGACGATTCCTCTGTAGACTAAAACAGGGAGAACGATGCCAAAGATGCCAACAAGAGCGAAGTTACGACGAGTCCAACGAAAGTTGTGCTCCAGAGTCTCACGAGCTGAACCCCACTCCTCTATGAACTTGTTCTTGTTTGCTTCCATTCCTCCTCCCATTTTCCCTGCCCTCTCTGATTTCTTCTACTCTCTGCTCGCTTTCCGGCTCAGCTAGTGTTGATCGTATGGAAGAACTGAAAGAAGTTTGTCCGGTCTGTGTTGTATTTGATGTTTTTGAGGTAATGGGTTTAGAGGGGAAGTGTTTGGGTTGGTGGATTGGTTTGTCTCTTGAGACCTTTGTGTTGAAAATAAATGGGCCTTACTTGCTTAAGTAAAAGCCCAACTTAAATTGAGCTACTAAGAAAGAAATATGGCATATATGTCCCTCTAAATTTATGTAATAGTCGGACTATTACATTTTTTATATATATTTTTAAATATTATTTTAGTCTCTAATTTATTTTTTTAATTATAAATAATTTTTTTATCAAAAATTTTATGACAAAAAGCAAAGAAAAAAATAAATAAATAAAACCAAATGACATACATGTTCTATTTTTAAAACTTTTTATTTTTTATTTTTTCATTTCAGTTCAGTCAAAAAATTTATCTATTATCATAAAGATTGATCGAAATAATAAATTAGATATTTAAACATTATTTACGGATACAATAAATGCAATTAGAAACATAAAAATAAATTGAATACTTAAACTATTATCTAAAAATAAATTGAGCTATTTATATAAAAAAAAAATTAATCCACATTTATATAAAATCTAAGCCTTATATCAATATGGTGGAGTCGTTTAGAAAAGAGATGGAAATGGATCCAATTAAAATTGGGACGTATTTTTAATGTATTTACACCTAATTTGAAATAATTACAATGATAATTTGTTTTCATATTCAATTCAATCTTATAGAATTGGATGAGATTTTATCGGCTTAAAAATAATATAAAATGAAATCTTAAAAGTATTAAAACTTGAAAATTAATATCTCTTTGTCCAAAAATCATAACACTATATGATAAAATCTCTAAATAAAATAATCAAAATAAAGTTTACTCACCTGTATTATTATTATTATTATTATGTAGTAGTAGTAGTAGTAGTAGTTACCACTTGCATATGGATTTTTTTTTAAAATATATATCTTGTGGTCCTACCTAGCCCAACTGTTGGAAGCAAGTGAGATACAAGTGAGCAAAAACAGTAGCACCAAACACGTCTCAACATAAAAATCCAGACGTATAAATTGGTCCTAGGTTTTCTATTCTCAACCAACAAAAGCTCCCAAAAAGAAAAAGATCGATGGCGTCTAGGGTTTCTCTGAAGACGAAAGGGAAGAGCAGCAGCGGCAAGGGAGCAAAAGGAATGGAAGAGAAGTCAGCATCACAATACGTCAAAGAATGGAGCACATGGACATTTAAAAAGGCCAAAGTTATCACTCACTATGGATTCATTCCTATGGTTATTATTATTGGAATGAATTCTGATCCCAAACCCCAGATTTATCAGCTCCTTAGTCCTTTCTGATTCGAGCCCAGATCGTGGTTTCTCTTGGTCTATCATGGGTCTGTGCTTATTTGTCGAATTTACATCTTTTAGGGAGATGGTTTTGTTAGGTTTGTTAGATTTGACTGTTTTATGGGGTTTTAAGGTATGGATTGATGACTATAAATGTTAAAGTTGTGAACTTTCTTACGCTGTTTTATGCCTTATGGTTCACTTATTAGTATGAATGTTAAAGTTCAGAGATATTATTAGTCAGTAGTAAGTGAGTGATTTAGTGTTTAATCATGGTTGTTTTTTATATTGTTGTACTCTTTATTTAGGCTGATTTATGTTTTTTCTTTTTCTGATGGATTGATTGATATGTAGAATGGATAGCTATAGTTTTATAAGGGGCTTAGATGTTGAACGGGAAATGAAATGAATTCTGGGTAGAGCTTTGACCCGAGCGAGGGTATTTCTTTCTTTTCTGGGCGTATAGAGAGAGGGGTGCAAACTGATAGATTTTATTGTCTTAAGGTTTCCAAAAATTATAGGAAGTTTAATAGTTGGACTGATAATAAGCTTGCTTGTCAGCTGGCAAGGAAAGGAATCCTTAAGCTTGATCTCTTCAGGTAATTATCATTTATTGGATATAAGATGACATTCAGGACTGTATGGGGTTTTTTTAATGTATATTCTGAGATTTTTTTTTTTTTTTTTTGAACTGTCCTTGCAACTGGGAAATTCATAACTAGCATAGAGAATTGTTTTGGGGAATTTCTGATTTGTGGTGTTCAGAGCTGATAAAGGTCTCCCCTCTCCAAAGCAGAGCTTCTTAGTTTAGTTTTGGTGATAGTATTTCAAACATACAAGAATTGTCTGTTATTATTTTCTTCAGTCATTATTGGTAAATTTGTTGAACCTGCATGGGCTATGGAAGCTTCACATACGTTTTCCTCCTTTTATCTCAACCCCACTTAAACATGAGGATGATCAAAGTCTGTTTGATAGATGCATATATTTATCCGTGTGGAGAATCAACTCTATTATGCATACTCTCTTATGCATTAGGTATTTTGTGTTGCATTGCAAGTTGATAGGACTATTTGTTGTGGAAATTGAAGAGGATTTTATCTTATTGTGTAGTGTGGACAGTGCATGTTTGTTTTAGCTGTATTTGCCTGCTTGGTTGCTAATACCTTCGAGGAATCTAAAAATAATAGAATGAAATGTTCACATTCATTTCGGGCTACCAGACCATCTAGTATGATCAGTGCGGTTCTCTAATCTTCAAACTCATTCATCCTGTTAGATAATAGCAGGGTTTTTTGTGTGCTTGTAGATATAAGCATTGAAATATAATAGAATTGAATTACTTAAAACTAATTTCTCGAGTTTTCTGTTTCCTTTCCCTTTCTCTGGCTAAGAACATTTCAGGCAAGTGTATGATTCAATTGTGCCTGTTTGTTATTGACCTGGTTTCTGGGGAACTTATAACAGATTTGTCCAAATTGTTTCCATGGAATGCTTATGCTGAGAGTTTAAAGTTTCAGAAAGAGTACAGAACATCAGATCTGATCTGATTGAATGTTAGCTTTCCATTAGGTTTAACTATAGTTTCATATCTCCTCTGTTGAGTTCTTTTGGTTGTCATTCACTGGAATGAAATTAGCAAGAAACTGAAAACAATCCTACTCTTTAGCAACTTTGCTCCAGGTTTTGCTTCTATCTACTTAGGGCTCAAGATTGCTTTCAAGATGGTTGTTTTGGTTCACTCATGATGGATTTTGATATTGCAGCTGCGGTGTCTTAGTTCGTCGGAGAGAACACTTTTAACACATTGTAAGTCTACATTTGTTGATTATAACAAGTTGTTAATGGCAAGGATTCATTAGATTATGATGCATGATGAGGCAACATTGTCTCCCTCGTTACAGCCCTACCATACTTGCTGGATGTTCTGTTTGAGTAAATTATAATTTAGTTCCTCTAGTTTTAAAAAACAAATTAATTAGTCGCCCTGTTTTAAAAGCTAATTATTTAGTCTCTACGCTTTTAATTTTTTTTTTTTTTTTAAACTTAATCCTTCTGGTTTTGTTTTCAATTTATTTTAATTTTTTGCTTCAAGAAATAGAAACAGTAAAGGTTAAGTGAAAAAATAGACAAGGAATGATGATAAAAAATGACATTTCTTGAAATAAATCAATATTACATTAAGTGTGGTTGACGTTGACATTGGTTAAGAGGGGATAGATTGATGAGAAAATATGATATTGTTTTAAATAAATCAATATTAGTTTTTAACGTCAATATAAAATATGATATTGTGAAAGCACTTATCTCTAAGTTCTCGACAATGGCTCCAGTTGTAGGCTTCTTCGTTCCATCGTTTTGGTTAGCAATAATTGCAAGGTTTTCTCCTCCTAGATAACGGGAAAAGGTGGTTATTCTTTTCTCGGAAACCCTACTAAGACTCCTCTTTATGAAGGAGGAAGCAGATCTATCCATGTTAGGGGCTTTTCTTTAGCTACTAGAAACAGCTTTTGACATATCTCTCATCTGACATTCCAAAATTGTTTGGAAAGTTATATGCATCATGGCAAAGTTAAAGCTTTTTTTCCTTTTGACATTCAAAAGGTTGTGCCTTTTTTTTTTTTTTTAGGAATATATATATATATATATATATATATGAGGAGAAGAAGAATTTTGCCTAAAGTTTTATTGGATTTAGTTTGCCCGAACGAGCTCTAATTGGAGGAAGACTTAATCTTGTGAGTTATTTTAATAGTCAATAACTACCATTCCTAATCCAACCTAAAGTCCCAATTTAATATCCATGTTAGACATCTCAATACTAGAGTAAATTATAATTTAGTCCTTTTAGTTTCGCAAAACGAACAAACTAATTCTCTTGTTTTAAAACTAATGAATTAGTCCATTGGCATGTATTGATCATGATTAATTTAAGATTATTTTGTTTTAAAAATATTTTCTTTTCTCATCAATTTTTTCATATTTTTTTCATTTTTCTATTTATTAACAAAAATTTAAAAAGAATGAATAGGATTAAGTTATAAAAATTTTGAAAATATAAAAACTAATTGATTAGTTATTAAAACTAGAGGGATTATTTAATTTATTTTGAAAAATTATAAAATTTAATTTATAATTTACTTTAAAAAAAAAATACTGACCAACCTCTTAGATCATACTTAATATAATTACAATAGGTTCTCTATTTGACCAATAAGCTTATGGTTTAATGGTGTTTTTGTACAAATAAAAAGAACAACATCTCAAATTTGAATCTCATCTCTATCGAAATTCTAATAAACATGAGAATGAACTCATAAAAAATAAAGAAAGTTCTAATTAATCTAAAATATATCATGTTACACTTGTAAGTTTGACCTAGCTAGGGATTATATATCATCCAGCAACCTTTCGATTTAAGTTCCATCAACTATAGTTTTATTATTATTTTTATTATTATTATGTAAAAAGAGACTCATAGCATTGTGTGGCTCAAAAAAAAAAAAAAAAAGAAAAACATATTGTGTCTGAACAATCAACACTAGTGCCTTCTTACAAAGTTTGCCAAGTTGGGATTAGCCCCCTAACATATGCCAATTTTTTTTTTTTAAAAAAAATTATTTTTATGATATCTTCTTATAACTTGTTAACTTTTTCTCTAGATGATGGAATATATATATATATATATATCATATGTTTGAAAAATCATTTTTAATTATGTTATTGTCAATATCCTTTTGGTACAAAAAGGTTTGCAAATTATGAGTCAACAAAATGATTTTAAATATATAAGCTATTTATCATCTTTACGTTGTATAAATAAACAGAAAATTTGTTGTATGGTATTGAAACATAATTTATTTAAATCATAAATTTGAATATCACCACCTCTATTTTTTCTACAAATTAAATAATCAAATACAAAATAATGGTGAATTTGTGTAAGTTTTAAGTTCAAATAATTTTCAGTTGAGAATGTGTATTAGAACACAATATTAAATCATTCTTAGAACTTTTAAGTTTTTGCGTTGAGGTAGTTCTTTGACAATCCCAACTTAAAAATTAGTTAGACCATGTTGTAATACTTTTATTATCTTAAAAAAAAACCTAGATGCGCTAAACCTCTTTTGAATTTTAGTTTGTTTAAAAATGCTTTCTAAACAAGTTAACTACATTTTTGGTTTATCAACTTGTCATATTTTTGCAATCAAGTATGTGCTTTTTAATCTTTATTATTTTAGTAGACTACATTGCAATTTTTTTCTAATAAATTTTTTATGTTAATTTTATGTTAATGTTGTAGTTAATTGCACATGTGGTGCCGGCATATAGGCTTTATTGTTGTTTTGTTTTTGTTTTTTTGTACAATTTTTTTTTAAAGTTTTTTCTATTGGAGTGTGTAAACTTTGATCGTTGCTATTTGAGTTTACGGACTTATAATTTTTTTTATTTGAATGATTCCGCTAACTCAAAACTAAAAACTACATATGTAGCCTCATCATTTAGGCCCTATTATCAAATATTTTTGCAGAGATATATATATATATATATATATTACTGCAAAAATATTTATTATTTAACAAATATTTGTATTCAAAAAGAAAATATTACTACAAAAATGAGAATGAATCAACTGATAAATATATAAAATTAAATAAGAAACTTCTTTAATCAATCTATTTGATCCAATCCAGATTCATGCCACCCATTATTCAAACTCAAAATTCAATTTCCTATCGCCATCTTCTAGACAACCACCATACTTAACAAAACTACTTAAAATGAGAATAAATCGTTGCATTGATGAATGAACACAATCAAGTTTTTTGTTTTAATTTTAAATTCTTTCCTTATATCTAGATATGTCTAAGTAATTTGTTTGCCTTAAAAAATTTATTTTTATATGAAAGTCATAAATATCTTATTGTCGTTATGTAATTTATTTGTATTTATTGTTACTATCTGAAAATAAATCATTGTTTATTTATTTATTAGTTGTCACGTGTCTTGACAATAGACCTACTTGACGATTTCACATGTGTAGTTAATAAACAAATCAATCTATAGTTAATAAAAATATTCAAATAGAAAAAATATCAAGCAAAGCTGCATGTTGTACTGGCATAAACACATCGATGAGTTGTGCTCATCAAGCCGTTATACTACAAAACCTCAACTTATTCATGAACCTATTCTGCCAAATAAGCTGTGTTCGTGCCATCTATGAATTTGCTTATCTGTTTTTCTTTTTTAGCGCAATCCATTATACAATCTATCCGAGCCTAGAAAATTCATTGAAAAATGCCAGAATACTGTGCCATGTTATGCTGGCATAAACACAATGATGAGATTTAACCTGTTCTGTTAAATAAGTTGTGTTTATGCCATGCATAAACTGAAATATCTGTTTTGGGTTTTACTCGTATTAGATCTCGTACAATTTCGATTTTTTTATTAAGATCTTGATTTTTCTTTTTGTCTAATTTAAAAATTCTATTTTTATTTTATTATTGTTTCAAATATTAATGTGGCAGCTAAGCACACGTAGTAAGCTCAACAACAACATAAAACCTTATCATGTGTGCTTATCACGTGTGCTTACGTGGTATATTACGATTTGAAATAACAATAACATAAAAACTTACCATGTGTCATGGTGGATATAAATTAAAACTTAACGAAAATAAATTTTTTTTACATGATAAGTCTGTCATTGGTTAGAACTTACCACGTGTGTTTACGTGACACATTAGGATTTGAAACAACAATAATATAAGAGTAGAACTCTTAAATTTAGAAAGTAAAAAAATTTAGAATCTCAATTAAAAAATTCAAATTATTCGAGATCTCAATATGCATGAAACTCTATATGTTTTTCTTTTTTAACACAATCTATTAGACATTATAAATCTATATGAATATAGAAAATTGGTTAAGAAATGCCATAGATATCTTCATTATCTTTTAAAAAAAAAAAAAAAGATAAAAAAAGTAATCATTTGTGCAATTACTTGTAATCCTTAGATTGTTAAGAAACCAATAATTTAGTCCACCTTGTTTCATAAAATATTAATTAGTTCACTGAACTCTTATTTTTAAAATCTTTCATGCTTGCTCTCATTTTTTAAATCTATTTTCTCAAGTTTGATTATTAAAAATTTGACGAGAAAAAAAATAATTTGAAAATAGAAACTACTAAACGCATGACAACTCAACGCAACAAAGATGTAAAACTCACGAAGGAGGCAGACTAAGTTATTAACATGCTGTAAAGAAAAGACTGTTAATAATTTTTTTTAAAAAGGATTAAATCATTTATTTTTCAAATTAGAGGGACTAAATTACAATCATTTAATAGTTATTTATTTAAGTTTATATTAAAAATGAAACTATTAAAAATCATAAATAAAACTCAAGAAAATATTTATATCTGTATGACTGTATGGCTCATCTTTTTAACATCCTTAAAAACATTACCTTTTATGGATTGGTCATTCACTGATATAAAAAGAACCTGTCTTCTCTCTTTTCCTTTCATCTTTTCGTTTTTATCTCCTACCTAGGAAGGAGAGAACAAAGCAGAGGGATTGGAACCTGCGAAAATACAAAAGAGAATTCTCCCATTTCTCCCTTATACATTCTTCACCATACGATCCAATACATTCTCACATAAACCAACGGTTCTGATCACATCATCTTCACCAACCGTATGTTTGACTCTCTTTCTCTTCTAATTTGTGATTTTTCTTTCTGGGTTTTGGATCTTCTGCTTTGTCAATCAGATCAGGTCCTGTTGTTTTAGTGTTTTTTTGGTTTGTTGGGCTGTGTTGTAAAACTTGTTTGGTTGCTGAGAAAGAGAAAAGTTTGGAACTTAAGCTGGTTTGTGATTATGTGGTTTCATTTTTGGAGTTTTTATATTTCTGTTTTGTGATGTTGTTTTTTGGGAAGTATGACTTGTCTTTGTCTGTAAGTTTTTTGAGTTTTAGTGCTATGCTATACTGGTATGTTTCTTATAAACAAAAAAAACAAAAAAATTCTAAAATGGTTGTTTTTCAGCAATTCTTGATCGTAGATCGTACTAATCTAGTTAAATATATATACTTAAGCTTACCTTCTCTATTTTTTTTTCCCTTTTCTTTTGGGGTTTAGAAGAGTTATTTAATGTCAAGCATGGCTGATAATTGAGTTTCTTTCATTTCTGCAGGTTATGGGAGGATTTGCTTTTTTCATATTTTAAAGAGCAGACATAGGTTAGTTGGTATTCCATGTTATTTTTACTTATTTTTATTTGTTATTAGGGATTTTAATTTAATTAATTAATTAATTAATTTTTGATAAGATTTCTCATTGCATCCTGCTTAGGCACTTTTTAAGTTTTATCTTTCCTAGTTTTTAAGTGATACATGGATGCTTAAATGAAATCTTACTGTGTCAATGGGGAACGACAGGGTAATAATTTAGTGATGTAGCTATTAATCTTTTAGGTTGCTTGATCTATGTAGTTTTTTTTACCTAAACTACTTAGGCATGTGTGAAGAAGCGAACAATACATGTTAGTCTCACATCGTTTTATAATTATACTGGTATATTGCCTTCCGTTTTTGGGTGAAATCTAAACTATGATCATTATCTAAAAAATGTTGACAAAGATCTTGCTCTTTGTCATGTTTGAAAGGAATTTGAAAGTTTTTTTGCTTTATTTTTGTTCTTTTTATTTAGACTTGTATTTATAAGGATGCCTAATCCTCCTTTTATGGACATTTTCCTTATAGTTGAATAAATTGTAAGAAGTTCATTTCTTCATTGTTGGTGAAATTTTATGATCTAGCTTTATGACCGTCTCTTAGGCAGTGAAAACATATTCAGATGCAGCCCCATCCTGAAGAAACTCTCCATATGGTAAAAAAGGAAGCAGATGACTGCTCTGATTCCCGTTACACAGGTCATTTGCAGAGCACTCTTAAGGAACCTGTAGAAACTTCTTCTTTCTCAAATGAGGATAACTCTCATGATACAGGGGATATTGATGACCAATCAATTGAAGATTCCTCTAAACAGTTGGTCCTTTATGATGCTGTGGCTAATGGTGCTGGTCAAATTGAACCTGTTCCTCTACCTATTCGGTGCCACCGTCCATTTGGAAGATACTCAGACCCGAATGTTCCCTCAAGACTTTTGCCATCTGTAGGAGCTTTTACCGTGCAATGTGCCAAATGTTTTAAGTGGAGGCTCATCCCAACGAAGGAGAAGTATGAAGAATTACGCGAACATATTCTAGAAGAGCCTTTTTATTGTGAAACTGCTCGTGAGTGGCGGCCTGATATATCATGTGATGATCCAACGGACATTTCTCAAGATGGGAGTAGGCTGTGGGCAATTGATAAACCTAACATCGCTCAGCCGCCTCCTGGGTGGGAAAGGTTGCTGCGAATCAGGGGCCAAGGAAGTACAAAATTTGCAGATGTGTATGTGTCCCAACCTATTTGTTTAACTTTATTTATTGAACCTTCTCTACTCTAATCTAATGTTACACATTATATTTTCCATTTTATGCAAACATAAACAAGACCCTTGAAGCCTTCCATGTTATCTAAGAGCACAAGCAACTGCTCTTCAACTGTATCTGAGTATTATGTAGAACATTCTTCTAATAGCTCTTCAAGTCTTTATTGATAATGACAACTAAGTTTGTAATTCTCTTAATCAGTTCTCCCATTTTTGAATACATACATGTCTGTATCAAGATCTCAAGCTGTCCCAATGTGGAAACTCTTGGTTGCTAAAATCACGATTTCTTCCAGTATGTGTGTTGTGATTTCACTTTCTAATCTTTTAGGTACTATCAAGCACCATCAGGCAAGAGGCTTCGCTCAATGGTGGAAGTCCAAAAGTATGTCAACTCCTCTTGTTTGAACATTCTTATATTGCAAGCTCATGCCCCTTGTTTATCACAGTTTAGCTAATTTTTATATACATATAATGCTAGATAATTTTGTGGTGATCTTTGTTTTAGGTGTTGTATCTCTTGATTTTGCAGGTACTTAATTGAACATCCAGAGTATATGAGAGACGGTGTAACTCTCTCACAGTTTTCATTTCAAATCCCAAAACCTCTGCAGGAAGACTATGTGAGGAAGCGTCCTCGTATATCAGCTTCATGTGATGATGCTAGACCTCTTGAATCTGGTGAAGGTATGTAGAAAAAAACTGCTTTACTTGTTAACATGAAGTGAAGGTAATACATTGAGCTGGCTTAGCTTTTAGCTCAATGATGCAAACTTCCATCAATTTTAACTTTTGACTCTTAGCTATAGATCTGGAGGAATGCAGTTCTGTATTCAGACTTGAGAACTTTTGTCCTACAGCTTAGCATATGCATGACCAAAGCATTTGAAGCAATTCAAATGAAATTTGCCTTTTCAATTCAGTTCTCTCTTATTGCTTCATGTTTTCTGGAGGATTTCAAAAGTTGCATTCTTTATAGTTTCTCAATCTACTGTGTTAGTTAGGATGTTTTAATTGATTTTTTTCATGTAAAGTTCTTTCCAGTTCTACTTGAAACAAATATTTATTTAAATTTGTGAGGGCCAGACCATATAGCTACCAGTGTACTTTTGCATTCCAAAGAAGCCTCAACTGTCACTCTCTTCTTACTTCTCTAATGGAGTTCTAGAATCTGGGCTCTCTTCAAAGAATTGCAAAATTGATTACACCATATTTGAGATTTACTTTACTTTTGAGGTGAAAACTGAAACTGATCTGTTCAATATCTGCAATGATATGTGTCTTATTACATTAAGGCGATGCACTCTTACTGCTCCATGTAAGCAGGAGGGAAATTTGTGGTCAACCCATGAACCCCGTCAGCCCTATTCGGGTTCGATTGATTCTGCATTCAGATCATCTGGGTTTAATGTGGTTCTGGAATATGAGAACTGCCCCAAGTGGATTGGTAATGGGGTGAGGCATTGGATAAAAACCACTCTAACCTATGCATATAAATTGTTACATATTCTTTAGAGAAACTCTTACAAACTAATTTAGTTTCCACGATGTGTAACTTAAGGTGGAATTCTTATCATGAATTCATGAATATTCAGTGTTTTTCAATTGATGTCCTCTTGTCCATGATTTTATTAGACAACCTGACAAGAATTCTTCTTGGGCTGGGTTGGTTACAACTTGAACTTCTGATTGATTAATGAGGGGTCCTGGGAAGAAATATCTGAGAATCTGTTTCTCCGGTCACTCTGCTGGCTTAACCTTCTTAGGATTTTTCCTTTGAATTTAAGTTAACATTGCTGATTCTGCTGCATGCAGGATGCATGTGAAAACCTACTACTGACAGTATCCTTGTTTTTGCAGCAGCAAAATCCCTTACATGGGATGGTCCAGGTGATCCTACAGAACTCAGGCTTGGCAGCCCAGCGTTCCTACCTTCACCCTCACCTTCACCATCGATAGAGTCCTCTGCTCTTTCCTTTGATCGACCAGTAAAGAAGAAAGCAAGGACACCAGCGAAACAGATTCACAGGACTAATCCAGTGTGTAATCAGGATGAAGCAAAAGTTGAAGAGCCTGATCAATCTATAAATAGTGGTTCCAATTTTTGAGGCTTGCTCTCTGATGCCTGAATGTTACTGTTCATGTCTTGCTTTCATGTTTTTCCTTGAAATGCTTCTATGTTTTTTGACCACAGGGTTCTGATGAACCAACACAAAGAAGGCAGTAAGATGGGGTTGGGAGGATGCATAGTTAGTAGGAATATATTTTTGTTATGTGATGCTAGAAAATCAAAAGAAGGAAATCTGAATTATATTGGTTCTTTGATCCTAGAATCAGCTAATCTTTACTTTTGTTCATGTCTTATTTCTTATACGAGTTAACACCTAAACCACTTCCCCATCCCCTTCTTTCTGCCTTATCTCAGAAAAAGAAACAGAAAAAAGACCCCATCAAAATAGCACTCCCATTACAAGAATAATTAGAAAAGTAATATTCAAGCATGGACCAGATATATATATTTATATATGTAGCAACCGTAGCACTCTTCCAGGTGGAACTTCCTGGCTGAAGTTTGGCATCTATGTCACTGCAAAGAACTTTTTCTTTCAACTGCTCAAATTCCTTGTCCTTCATCTTCAGCTGTTCTTCCATCTCAAGGACAGGTTTCTACTGCTAGCTTTCTTTTACCTTTCAAATCTTTAGAAAGTACTCTATATCTCTCTCGATCTCTCTCTGCCCGATTCTTTTGTACTTTGTTGTGGCTTATCGGAACCTAAACATTTTTTCTTGAATTTTAGGATCATCACTTCTGGCCTTTTCCCTTTCTGCATTTGTTTAGGGATCGTGTCTCTCTTTCACTAGCAGATGAATTGACAGTTGTATTTTGCAGCTCTTGGGATCCCTTTACTATGACAATAAAATACCAGCATTAAATTTTGCAGCTCTAAGCTGCAATTATGATTCTAAGAGGGTTTTGGAAACAAAACACGACAAGCTATATATTGACTAAAATTTTAACAGAACCCTAAAAAACCAAAATGCTTATATATTATTTGAGTTTGAAAAGCATAAAAATGACCAGGGTTTTGTTATATGCAAACCTTGTTTGTATCTGAAGAAAGAGACAATTTGGAGCTTAGTAGAAAGCAAGTCATTTTGAGAGAAGCAGAGGATCATGGAGGTCTCCGGCAGCTAGTGAAAGAGCCTGTGAGCCAAACATTGTTGTAGGAACCCTAGGGGAGGCATGTACGCTTGCAGAGAAAGTAACCATATACTAGTACGATTTTATGGGACAACTATGAGCTAGGGTTTTAGCTAAATAAGATATATTTTTTTTTTTAATAATGATTTGAGGTTATATCTTTGGAGCCAACTTGCATATTAATCCAGACTATATTTCTTTTCAAAAGATTTTCAGAACACATCTTTCACGTCAGTCTAGTACATTCATAAAGGCAACTTTTCATAAATACTAATCCTAAGATTGGAACATAAAAAGTCAAAGGGAGAAGCATCGATTATACTTCCTGGAAGCATTATAATTAATGAATGAGATATAAAAAGAGCAAAATTCTTGTAGTTTTTGACAATCAAATTTTAATTGGTAACATTGATTAGTTGTTATAACATTGGAAGCACCAGAGAACCAAATTGCAAACCTAGCTTACCAGTGGATAATGAGTCTTCAATGAAGCTCATTGTGCTTTAATTTGATCTAGCCAGATCGACAAAAAACGAAATACATGCTGGTGAAGAAACATCATACCTCAAAACTCTAGAATGAAGCTATTGTAATGATAAAAAGTAATGCCGTATTTATTTCTGTCGTTTAGATATCTTCAATTATCTGTTCAGACATGAACATGTTGAGCAGTCAATTAGTGAAGATCTTATGGCATTCAAAATGGAATTTCAGTTGGTGGAAAAGATACACTAGCAGTGAGGTTGGTCAGAGTCAGAGCTGGACTAGATATGTTATATGTAACTATGACTAAAGAACCTGACTCTGATGAAGCTGATGGCCAGACTTCACTAGATGATCCCACTGACTTTACTAGATGATGGAATATCAATCATCTATGTCGCAGGTTCTTAGCACCTCCCCTTCTCTCACTCGCTATACCTCCTCTCTGCTCTTTACATTTTGCTTCATACTTGAGCTCCAAAAGTGATTCTTCCATTTGAATACCAGCAGCATTTTTCCGGCATAGGGCAGGGAAGACGAAGAGGGGTGGGGGCGGGTATTGGAAAATATTGACACGTTCTATGTTCCTACACCAATGCCACAGATATCCAGTCAATGCCAAACTTACTACAAATAATAAAACAAACTTGTCGACAGTCATAAATGAAGAAAAATGACACGAAACCTGTATTTAGTACAGCCAAGAAACTGCTTTCTGAGTGCATGAAGTCTTCTTGCTGGTCCCAACTGCTCTAACAAAAGGATGTGATGAATTTGTGTTATGGGCTCATTGTGGAAGACATTCAGCATACTAAAAGTTTTCCACTGTTATTTTCCAATTATATTCCACAAATTTTCTAACCAAAGCTTACAGTGAAAAGCATAGATTCAAACCACGAACTTACTTTGTGAAGAATGCCTCTAAAGATGTGATGCAGCTAGTTGGTATGACTGTATGGAAAGAGTTATTGATGCGATGAATTTTCTCAAGTTTTCCCATCAGAAAAGAAAAGGAATAAATTGGTTAATTAGGTCCTAGGATTTAAATGAAACATTTAGCAGGAGCTAAATTGTAGTTTTCAAAATAAAAATGTGCATGTATGATTCGCATGTTTTATGAATGTTACCCTTTGCAAATGAAAAAGATGGGTAATTAAATACAGGGTCCAGGAAACACACCTTCAAGCAATTGGCAGCAAATCCCATAGAGATAAGAGCATAGCATAGTGCAGATATCCTCAATGTTAAAAAGTGACAAAGATTTGGTTATCACATTTAAGGGTGAACTTGTGGCACAAGCACAACAGGTTTCACATTCACATAGACTGCTTTCTTACACAAAAACCAGCAATCTTCAACTGTCATAGCAAAGCACCAGCAGTTGCAGTCTTATCGGACCTCTTTGACCTCAATGGGTTTGAAGTTCCAGTCTCTAGACACCAAAGAGAAAATAGTTTCTAATCTTGTCAGTTGCCTCCAACAGGTAAGATGTAGTAATCAACAAAGCAGTTCATATAATCATGATTCAGATCATTACTCATGGACTCGTCTGAATTTTTCTACTTCACTATACTAGTTTCTACCTTTCCATTTCAGGGATTGTAGCTATTGCTTTGCAGCTTTAACTTGATCAAGGAAGTGAATTTAGCACTGCATTTTGTCACACATCACAGATCACTATGGAAGAGAGATGAGAATCTGCAGCTCCAGTAACAACAGCACCTTTGCTTCTAACATCAAGCAGATAATTCAAAGCCCTCTCTGTGATAATTTCACCAGGAATCATCACAGGGATCCCAGGTGGGTATGGACATATAAGCTCACCACAGACCTTCCCAAGACTCTCTCTGATACTCACACTCCTTTTATTTGCAAAAAAGCATCTCTTGGATTCAAACTGATACAAATATCATCAAAGGGTGCATGCTCTCTGGTATCCACCCTCTTTTCCATGGTTCTGGAATGTAAGGAAGACACTGATAGTTTCTTTATTCCTGTGACCAACCTTTGAATATGTTCCCTGCAAGTTCCAAGGTTTATTGCAAAAGTAATGGATTGTGTCCCAACAAGCTCAGAGACGACTCCATGGTCCCTATCTAAAATATCATCTGCTTCATAGCCAGATAAACCAAGTGACCAAGAACCAATAGTGAGGCGTAGGGGATCAATGGCAGGAAATTCATTGAAGCTTGCTAAGTCAAGCACACTGATACCAGGAATCTTTTTAATGAGAGTGTTTGCTTCAGTTGCCAACTCCAATGCTTTGTTAAAAACTGTTCCAGGGTTTTCACCAAGTTGACCTCTAGCAGCATCTAATGATGCTAAAAGCAGATAACTGGGGCTTGTGCTTTGTAGTGTTTGAAGGCACCGACAGACTCTCTCTCTGTCTATGATATACCCCGACATGTGTAGCATTGATGACTGTGTAAGGGAGCAGAGAACTTTGTGAGTAGATTGTACCACCAAATCAGCACCCTGCTTGAGAGCTGAAAGAGGCATGCTGGGATGAAATCCTAGGTGTGCTCCATGAGCTTCATCAACAATCAAAGGAATTTCATAAGCATGACAGAGTTGCGAAATCTCCCTCAAGTTGCTACATATACCATGATAAGTAGGGGATGTTATGAAAACAGCAGCTGGTTTTTGACTGTCCCTCTCCAAATCTTTGATAGCTTTCCCCACCTGTAATACGAGTTCTTAAATATATTATTCCAATGCCACCAATACAATAAAAATAAATAAACTAATGGGTGTTATTGGCATCTCTTTATCTTTTTTCCCCACAAATGTTGAAGTCTTTACTGTGATGTCCATATATATACATGTCTTGTTCATATTAAGCATCAGGACGAACTTTTTACCCATGCAAGTAACCAAACAGTTTTAGAAAGTAGATAGCAACATGTGTTCTGCCATTTGGGCATCAATGCCCAATGCTCGAACCAATAATATTAATAGACTTACCTGTGATGGAGTGATCCCACCAGCAATATCCCATTTACAATCATACTCAGGCATTAGGTACTTTGGTATAGCTCCAGATAATACCATAGCAGATATGGCTGATATATGGCAATTGCGAGGGAGAATGATATGTTCTCCAGGAGAACAAGTAGCCATTATTGCAGCTTGGATTCCACAAGTTGTACCTCCAACAAGAAACCATGTTTCTGAAGATCCAAATAGTTTGGCAGCTTTCATTTGTGCCTCTAAAATGGGCCCCTCTGGCGAAAAGAGGTTGTCAAGCTCTGGAAGCTCAGGTAAATCATGAGTAAATGGTCTTATCCCAATGAGCTTAGTTAAAGAAGATGGTGCAGCACGGCCTCTATTATGCCCAGGGAAGTGAAAACTGGCTGCACTTTTTTCAGCTGAAGCTTTCAATGCACCAACCAATGGAGGAAGGCTATGTTGCTGTTCTATATGAGATTTGAAAACGACAGTTTCATCCTTCGTAAGTGACCTGGTTTTCTCTCCTCTGCTTTCTCTATCTTCTTTCTTTTGCTGCTCCAATGTGCTCCTTTTCTGTAAAGTGCATAATAATTAACATCTTAGTTTCTCAACATAATTTAAGCTATGGAGCAACTTCCCATTTACAAGAAACACAGAAAACTCTTTTATTAGTTTATCCCATAAACACTAGTTTATGCATCAAGACATCAAATTTTACTTCTTTCTCTAAGCAAAATACAAAACCCTAAGACCACCATTTAGGGCCAAAAGTTTAACCATAAGGATCCATAACTTGGTCCATACATAAGCAATCCATTCTTAGTCCCTAATCATGAAAACTGCAGAAACCCAAATTTTATTATTCAGCAATAAGTTTTCTCATTACCAAACGAAATTATGGAGAGAATTAAAACCCAATTGATAGCAAAACCATGGCTTCCTATCATCATTTTATAACATAGAGCAACAATATTTTTCATCTTCTATCATATTCAACCAAATAAAAACCTATTATGAGCATTAAAAAAATCCTCTAACAGTTAAAAATGGATACCGACATATAAAAGTAGCAAAAGAACTCGCATTCTTCCACCAATAATGAGCCTTCCTAAAACCAAATTTTAAAACTTTGACAAGAATAACAATGTCCCATAAGCAACATTCCACACATGTAATGATTGAAAAGTGCAGAGTGAGTGTTTAAGAAAATCACCTGACAAGTGCAGCAAGTGCTAGTTCTTGGTCTCAAAGATGCTGAAGTCCAGTTCTTGGCAAAACCCAATTGAAGACTCTGCAAAGACACGACAAGCAGAGAAACAAATCAATCTCAGTAACTAAGTAAACAGTCCAAATTTAGTTATAGAGAAAGAAACATCACACATGGTACAGACAGGTTAAAGAGAGAGTTAGCACTTACTAGGTTCAGAGAAGTGGAAGAAGACATTCTTCTTCCAGTCTTTTTGCTTGGTGGGCAGGGTCCGCTGGGAGGATAATATCATATCCTCTAAGACGGCAAAAGGGCAATTTTTTCTTTCAAAAATCTAAGCTCATTTTAATGAATTCCACATTATTAGACTCTGCAATAAATGAGATGGGACTGGACTTTGTTGGATGGGATAAGTACATATTTTTCTCTTATTTTTTATACAGTAGACAGGACAAAAGGTGATTGAAGTTTTTACAAAAGTTATTTTGGTCCTTCATTTTTTAACAATTTATTTAGTCTCTATATTTAATTTCATGACATTTTATTCTTTATTAACATAAATTAATATGAATTGAAATTGAAATTTAAACTAAATGAATGTGATTTTAATAAATTGTTAGAAACACAAAATTATATTAATTACTTAATAACTTTTTCTCTAGCATAATATAGGAAAAATATTTTTTTGTTCCTTACTTAAAAAAATTTGATCCCCTCATTTTTTGTGTATGCAATTTAGTCCTTGAAGTATTTTTTTTTTGCAATTAAGCCCTTACATATAAAATTTCATTTTCATAAAAGATAGGTAAACTTGGTCCAACTCCAGTCAACAAAATCAATAAATAAATGATAAATAGAAAATAGAAAATACAAAAAATTAAAAAATAATAATTTTGTTCATAGTATTCCTTGTTCCACCCTTCCCATGGAAGAAAATCTATTGGTTTAGCCAAATTTTTATGTTATTACTATTATTTATTTTAGGGTGAAAAATGGGAACTTTTAGATTAGCGTATATCAATCAAAATTAAGTTTTTTTTTTTATATAAATAATTTTAAAGATTATTTTTTGCATTTATTTTTGTGCATTTAGAGGAATAAAATCTCTTAAATATTGATTCCAAGTTAAAACTCAAAAAATCAAAAGAAAAAACAAACATTCTTAAACACCTAACCTATCCAAAGTTAAATAAGAATAGCATTACTCTTTGCTATCAATACTTCTTTAAACAAGTCAAACCATATTTCATTTTAGAAGTAAAACAAGTCAGCCTATATCCTAAAAATTGCAAATTTATCTTCTTCTTCTTTTTTTTTTTTTTTTTAATCTCCACAAATTTGTCACTTTGAATGCCAACCTCATCCTTCACTTTTTGCAACTTATTTGCTATCCACAAAGAGTAAATTATAAATTAGTCTTTCTAGTTTTTCAAAACTAATTAAATAGTCCCTTTAGTTTCAAAAACTAATAAATTAATCCCTATATTTCAATAACTATTTGTAATTTAATTGTTTTATTTTAATAAAAAATAAGTAAAAATATGAAAAATTGATGAGAATTTTTTCTTAGAAAAAAGTAATATCAAATTACCATAATCAACATTGGTTAAAAAATTAATTAACTAGTTTTTAAAGCAACAGGGACTATTCAGTTTTTGTTTCAAAACGAGAGGGACTAATTTAGAACTTACTCGTTATCCACGAAAGATTGTTTTGTTTCTTATTTCTTAAATGGATAAATCAAAATATTTAGTATCCAACAAAAAAGGTGCATGAGAGAGACATATTACGTAGTCCTTCTAAAGTAACTAACAGAATCCCGCCCACTTCGTTCCCTCTCTCTCTCCATATCCACTCTCACTTTTCTATTTAAATAAATTTCAAGAAATTTCCATAACATATCATCCCTACTCCTCAGTTTGATCAATTTATCTCTTCTGTGTATACATTTTTTATACCTCAAAGGTATTGTTTTGGTGTCGAGAAGGAAACTGATCAATTATGGAGGGAACAAAATCACAAAACCAGCATCAACAACCTTTGGTTTTTGCTTACTATGTTACTGGTCATGGATTTGGTCACGCCACTAGGGTTGTTGAGGTACGTATTTTGGTCCCTTTTTCATGTTTGATGAAATTTTTTATATTTTCTTAGTTCTTTTGTTGTTTTGGTTTCATTTTGGAATTTTTCAATGCCTTTTTTGTTTTGTTGTTTCCCTAAAACGTTCTTGAACGTCTCCCATATGTTTCTTTCATCGGGAGGCTCGTCGGACCTGAGCCTTTGATTCCTCCTTTTGTGCAATTCATCCCGGCTGAGTTTTTCCAATAATATCAAGTGTTCGATGGTTGAGTCCATTTCGGGATGGATATTTTAAAACGAACATCATACTCGAAGAAATTTGTAACATCTTGTTACAACAAGTCCACAATTAGGCTCTCACCTTTTGTAATTCAGAAATTTTTATTTTTTTTATTGAATTTTTTGTTGATACTTTGGCTGGCATTGTTGTGTTACAAACGATACTGTTTAAGGAAAATTTAATACTTGATGAGTTCTTGTGTTTTGCAGGTGGTTCGTCATTTAATTCTAGCTGGGCATATTGTTTATGTGGTTACAGCAGCACCAGATTTTGTTTATACTTCTGCAATACAGTCACCTAGATTGTTCCTACGAAAGGTTATTTTTCTTGAATTGGTGTTCAGTTATGCCTGCCTTATCAGTAGTTGTTCACATTCAGAAGAATAAACTAGAAAAATATGTAAAAAGCTTGAACATGCTTCTGATTTTGTAGTTTTGACGCTGCTTCTTAGTAGGAAAATGAAATTAGCTGTATTGAGACCTTCTAGACTTAAGAGGTGTGATCCTTTTGCCCTATATTCACTAGCCATTTGGCCTTAATTTTGTGCAATTGCAGGTGCTGCTGGATTGTGGAGCTGTTCAATCTGATGCCTTGACTGTTGATCGTATTGCTTCGTTGGAAAAGGTTTGATGCAAACCCAGAAAAACCTTGCAAAGTCATATGTTTTCAGGTTAACTTATCCTTCCTGCCTGGTTAATTGGCTGACTGGTTTTCTTTTCATATTTCGTTTAATCCAGTATTCTGAGACAGCAGTAATTCCTCGAGAGAGTATTTTAGAAACAGAAGTCGAGTGGCTGAAGTCTATCAAAGCTGACTTAGTGGTACTCAAATCTTCCTGATGTTATCTGCTATACATAGATACATATTTTATTTCCGACGGTTTGCGGCATTTTCTTAAGAGTCTTTCATGTAACAGGTTTCAGATGTTGTTCCTGTTGCCTGTCGGGCCGCTGCAGATGCCGGCATCCGTTCTGTTTGTTGCACCAACTTCAGGTAATCTGTTTCATCTTTTTTATAAGTAAGAATTTTTCTAATGAACTTTTTTATCAAAAAAAGTATACATATTGGTGTGTGGATGTTGAGGTTACCTAAGTGGCTTTGAAATGCTCTGAAGATGTGGAGAAATTGTTATCGATAAGCAGGATTCTCTCTAGTTAATAAAGGAACTGTGAATAAGTTGTTTGTAATTAACTTGACAGACAAATGCTGATCTCGATATAATAGGAGCTCAAGAACTGATGTTAGTGGCAGAATGTTGGTTATCATGATGCCTGCATTTTTGAAATCTGCATAACTGACCATGACCATTTCTACTGATCAGCTCAAAAATTCTACATGTTTTTTAATATTTGAAGTCTTGATGTTGCTGTCATGTTTTCGGTTCAAGTTTTACTTCTGAATATAAGTTAATTTCACTAAATTTATTCTCCCTTCTTTGAAAACATCGGCAGTTGGGACTTCATCTATGCAGAATATGTGGTGGATGCTGGATCTCAACATCGCTCCATTGTTCTGCAGGTACCCTTTAATCTTTTCATCTCTAGAATAGATGTCTTTACTTAAAGTTTGGATAAAAAAGTTTTCAAGCAAACTCAGTATTCATGTAGGAATCTTATGTGATTATGACGAGCACTAATTTTCATCATGCTAATCAATTTGTTGTCATGAAACTCTCTGCAGATTGCTGAGGACTATTCTCATTGTGAATTTCTAATACGCCTACCAGGATATTGTCCAAGTATGTTTGTGAAAGCATATTTCTAGCTTTTCCTTTTCCTTTCCTTTTCCTGCTTCAGCTTTTGTAATTGTCCTGCATCAGTTGGATAGGGCTCTATTGTGCTCTATTTTCATCCTTGTTTGCATGTACCGGGTATTTCTGTAGTTATTCTTTGTAGGCTTTCTAGTTTGTTGATGTTACGTGTATTTTTATTTTGCAGTGCCTGCATTTCGTGATGTTATTGATGTACCGCTTGTTGTGAGGGCACTGCACAAATCTAGAGCAGAGGTCAGGCATTTGCTAACTTGTAAAGAACAAAAATACTTAATTGATGTAAAATGTAGTGTGTACAATGCAAGTAAATGCGCTGTAGTGCAGGTCAGGGAAGAGCTCGGAGTTGAGGAGGATGTGAAGCTAGTAATTTTCAATTTTGGTGGACAGGTGAGCATTACTTTGCGTTTTCCCTGATATGTTGTTAGTGCAGGATATTTGATCTGCATCATGTTGGCTGAAGTTTTTCTCTGTTATCTAACTACAATTTTTACTGTAACACTAGTTGGTTGGTCTCAGAACATTGGCTCTTCTCTACTCAACTTTTTATCGAAAAAGAGGAAATAAATTTTTCTAGATATTTTTGTGATATTTTTCTAGTCTTTAGTTATAAAGACCTATGCTGACGTTTTACACGCCATCATCTGGCAATTGTAGCCTGCTGGGTGGAAGTTACAGAAGGAATATCTACCTCCTGGTTGGATGTGTGTGGTAGGTTCTGCTCAGCATATATTGAACTCACTTTGAATGGGATCTATGCATTTTGTTCTGATGAAATTGTTGTTGTAATTTTTCTGAGATAGGTATGCGGCGGTTCTGACGACGAAGAATATCCTCCTAATTTCATCAAGCTTCCAAAAAATGCTTACACTCCTGATGTGATAGCAGCTTCAGATTGCATGCTCGGTACTTCGACCGAGACTGTTGCTTTGAGCAAATAGGTTACTTCTAAAAACATAATTTTGACACGACAGTGCGTTTTCTGTTCCAGGGAAAATTGGATACGGCACATTTAGTGAAGCTATGGCATACAAGGTGCCGTTTGTCTTTGTACGAAGAGATTACTTCAACGAAGAGCCATTTTTGAGAAACATGCTTGAGGTAAAGTTGTTATTATATTAGCTATCTACCTAACATTTAGCATTTAACAGTAAAGTTTTTGAGGCAAGTAGGCAACCATGTGAAGTATTCTGCATCTTTTGTGGAAACAGCATTATCATGGAGGTGTTGAGATGATTAGGAGAGATTTGCTGACTGGATGCTGGCAACCCTACCTTCAGCGTGCCATTAGCTTGAAACCATGCTACGATGGAGGTGTCAATGGCGGTGAGGTATGCTTTTACGTAAAGTTTTCAGCTTTTACACAGTTCATTTACATGGTAAAACTTCACTGAAGATTTAATAGGACTAAAGAGAGGTTGAATCAAGTTGCTATAGCAAATCCTATAGTTTCTATTAATTCATGTTCTGTTTCCTTGTTCAGGTGGCTGCTCGCATACTGCAGGATACAGCTCTTGGAAAAAATCATGCTTCTGATAAGGTGAATTCAATTTCTGTATTGATTCATACAGTACAGTTCAAATGTTGGAATGCTGGCATACAACTATATCTGATTTAAATTCTGCAGAAGGAATCTCATCTTCTGGTGCATGTTGTTGCTACCATGAACAATTTTTTATGCTGTCTAAATGTCATTTCTACTAAATTCTCCTGCTTTGCTTTATATATAGCCTTGTGGAGCAAGAAGATTGCGAGATGCAATAGTTCTTGGATATCAACTACAAAGATCTAACAGTAGAAGTATAGGTGTTCCAGATTGGTACAATCTTGCAGAAAACAAGCTTGTTGCTCGTTCATCAGAAGGTTCCCAAAAAGAAGTGTAGGTTTACGAAATTCCTTTCCAATCCTATAATTCTAGAATTTTCTTTCTGTTTTGAGGTTGTTGTTTCATGATTAAACTTAGTTGTTGTCATTTGTGAAAATTGATTGTGTTTCCTTCCTCCTCAGTTTTTACTGATTTCCCTTTGTTTTTAAGCAGAAATGTAGAAGCTTTTGAGATTCTTCACGGTGACATACAAGGTCTTCCTGATACAATGGCTTTCTTAAAGAGCTTGGCAGAGCTCGGTGCTGAATATGACCTGAAAAAGGATACTGAGGATGAAATACGGGAGAATCTGGCTGCTGCCGGGCTGTTCAACTGGGAGGTCTGTCTCAATTCTTTATTATCTTTCTTTATTTCTCATTGATCAATTAATTTTGGCAGCCAACTATATTCTATGACAACAAAATTGACCTAGTCATCAAGCTTCTATATTCGGTGAAATGTCGTGCTTTTATGCATTTTCATCTTGCTAGTTACTACAGATATTAGATCAAGGTTCACTATACCTTCTCCTGATGCGGCATTGATCTGGGGAATGGATATTATACATTATAACTGCTTACCCTAGTTTTACCTTGCAAAAATTAGTTTGCATAAAGAATGTTGCTACACAAATTCGCAAAATGCCAGCATGATGAATGTATGTATGAAATAGATATAAGTATATATGTCTGTATATATGTGCTTGCAAGATATTAGTTTTAAATTTCCAAGGCTGATAATATTTTGGATTAGTTACTTCGTAAGGTCAAATCATTGAAACCAGTGGATCCAATCTGCTGGTAGAATCATTCAACAGGTTAGTATTCTCTTATTTGAATGCTAACCAGGAAAATTGCGTGAGCCAAGAATACTTATCATGAATCATACCTTAATCACCCAATTCCCTGTCGAAAAGGCCACAAAAGGGAAGAAAAACTAGAAACCTTTATCTTTTCGGTTCTGCATATGATTCTGTATTTCTGTTCTGTTGTTGTGGAAGGAAACACACCATCATGTGGTTAGATCAACTTGAATGCGCCTTACAGTATACAGATTTCTGTTCTGTTCTGTTCTGTTGTGATGCTTAAATTGTCAAAATTGTAACCGGTCATGCAGGAGGAAATATTTGTAGCAAGAGCACCTGGAAGATTAGATGTCATGGGTGGTATAGCAGACTATTCAGGAAGCCTCGTTTTGCAGGTTAATATTTGTTTCTCCTCATCACCTTGAGGTTTAGCTCAGGCTTTTCTGTGCATGACTCTGTATGAATGTTGTACACTGCCATTTTTTTTTTATTAGCAATTTTTCTCAGTAATGTCTTTGTTGTCTTCCTGCAGATGCCTATCAGAGAAGCTTGCCATGTTGCTGTGCAGAAGAATCATCCAAGTAAACAGAAGCTGTGGAAACAAGCACAGGCAAGGCAGCATGCTGATCAACAGAAATCAACGCCCGTTCTAGAAATTGTAAGCAATTATGAAGATTTATAAAATAGAAAATGAAAATTGAATAGGTAAATAAAAAGATTTAATCAATGAATAAATACGCTAATACGGTCTCAACTTACTTCAGAACTACGAATTTTGATAATTTGGACAATAGAAACTTGTGTGTAAAATTATTCATATCTAGGCAGTGCTGCTACATGTATAAAAAAAAAATAAAAATAAATATAGCTGTTTTCTTCTTCATTGTATTAAAACTCTGGCCATTTCAGGTGTCATTTGGCTCAGAATTGAGTAATCGTGGACCGACATTTGACATGGATCTATCTGAGTTTAAAGATGGTGAGAAGCCAATATCATATGAGGCAGCAAGGAAGTATTTTGCCAAAGATCCATCTCAAAAGTGGGCAGCATACGTTGCTGGGACAATTCTGGTATTAATGACCGAGTTGGGTGTTTGTTTCGAGAACAGTATCAGCATACTGGTTGGTCTCTATGTACTTTGATTAACTGAAATATTCTTCAGCACTCGAACTTCTTGTTTTATTTTTTCTTCATTGTTGTTAATGATTTCAGTTGATTTCCAGGTTTCTTCAGGAGTCCCAGAAGGCAAAGGCGTTTCTTCATCTGCAGCATTGGAGGTTGCCACCATGTCTGCTATTGCTGCTGCTCATGGTGACTATAATTCTTAACCTTACGTACTCCATAACTGATGACCTTAAATTTATTTTTCTTGTCTTCTAGAGCTGATGCTCAGCTTCTTCAGGATCTCCCTCACTGAATGAGCACATGTCTCACCATGCCGATCTTCCTCTCTTTGTGTGCAGGTTTAAAAATTGCCCCTCGAGATCTTGCTTTGCTTTGCCAAAAGGCATGTAGTATCGCCAAACTCCATTTCGTTAGTTTTCTTTTGATTTATAGTTTTGAAGCTTTGGCGTGCATTTATGCAATAGGTTATATTTAGCAATCAATCAATTCCTATAGGTGGAGAATCATGTTGTTGGAGCCCCATGTGGGGTGATGGACCAAATGGCCTCTGCTTGTGGTGAAAAAAACAAACTTCTTGCGATGGTATGCCAGGTAAGTGCTCCGACCGGTGCTATAATTATGTTTATCATGTCTCTCGGTTAATGGTTTATGTTACATAAACTCTCTGTTCTGTGCAGCCTGCTGAGGTACTAGGACTAGTCGACATTCCTTCTCATGTGCGATTTTGGGGCATAGATTCGGGATTAAGACACAGGTTTGACATTCTGAGAACTTCCTGACATTTGCATGACTAAATTCAGAGACTAGAAACACCACCATTTAGAAAGTAATGTAGCAGTGCAGTATAATTGCAGTTCTTTTTCCCTTGACAGTGTTGGCGGTTCAGATTATGGTTCTGTGAGGATTGGCACTTATATGGGCCGAAAGATTATAAAATCTACGGCTTCTGGATTGTCAGAGGGAATTAACAAAGATGACTTCGACAAGGTTGGCGTCGAACTACTTAATAATGAGGCTTCATTAAATTACTTGTGCAATCTCCCTCCTCATAGGTAACATGTTTCTGTCCTGACTAGTACTTACTGATATGAAAATGATAAAAATACGATTTTTGGCTAGATCTCGCGGCCGACAATCTGATTTCTATACTTCTTTTTCCTCCTTTCCTTGATCCTTATCATCTTTGTTTTGGACGTGATGTAGAATGCCAAACTATAACAACAACCGTTCTGAAGAGGATTTACTCGCTCTTTCGTATCGTTTTACAGGTATGAAGGAGTGTATGTTGATAAGCTTCCAGAGACTTTAACAGGAGAAGAATTCATAAAGAAATATGTTGATCACGAGGATTCAGTCACAACAATAGATCCCAAACATACTTATGCAGTTAAAGCACCAACTAGGCATCCTGTTTATGAGAATTTCCGAGTCAAGGTCAGTAATCTGTTTTTTATGAGCACTATCTCAATTCTGGTATTGGAACAAGTTCAAAATTATATAGAACGAAAATTTTTCTGAGAAGAAGTGCTTTCCTCGCGCTAGCTTCCTCTCGTGGTTTCAGACATAATTCTTTTTAACAATTTGTTTTTTACCAAATTTTCTTTGCTTTAAAATGATCTTTTTTCTTCATGCATTCACACTTCTTTCACTTGATCTGTAGGCTTTCAAAGCATTATTAACTGCAACTACTTCAGATGAACAACTTTCTGCTCTCGGGGATCTTATGTATCAGGTATTTTGTTTCAAAATATCGTACCATTTATGGATTCAGGATTTTCAAATACAATGTTTCCATATTAGTTCTTAGTCGGATGACGCAATTCGTTATTGCAGTGCCATTACAGCTATAGTGCATGCGGACTTGGCTCTGATGGGACAGATAGACTGGTAGAATTGGTACAAGAATTTCAGCACAGCGAGGCTTCCCAATCTGAAAATGGGACTCTGTATGGAGCAAAGATCACTGGAGGGGGCAGCGGCGGAACAGTCTGTGTTATCGGAAAGAATTCTGGGGGAAGCAATGACCAAGTTCTTGAGGTAGCTATCTTTCACTTTTCAGATTCCATCTTTTGCCTAACATTTCCCTAGTTTTGAAAATGTTCTAATAGCTTTGATATCTAATCTCCAGATTCAACGGAGATACATGGTTTCCACAGGCTTTAAGCCCTATGTGTTCCAGGGTTCTTCACCAGGTGCAGGAAAGTTTGGATATTTGAAAATTCGTCGCCGCTCCACCACCAATTCTCACTTTAATAATGGATGTCAATAAGCCATATCTAAGGTGAAATGGTTGTGCATGAGCTCAATGTACCTGTTTGATTAGTTTCATAGTAATAAAGAACTGCCGATGGATCCATTTTTCTGTGATCATTGGAAAATCACTCTTTGTATTCAGTCAGAAAAGATAGAGTTTGATGGATAATCTCACAGCTCTTTTTTAATTATGTTTTAATTGGAGTTCTTATTTTTTAAATTGATTAATCTTTGACAATTCTTGCTATAAAGTTAAATACAGAATCATCATGCAAATCTGTAAGAAATTTTAAAAAAGATGGCAACTTCAATATTGTTTTCTTTCTTGGATACAAAATTTGTATTATCTTTTCATACGCGAGTTTGTGTGTCAATCAAGATTAAATCTAGATTGTGCATCAACTAAGATTAAATCTTTATCCGGACTATAGTAATGGCACATACCCTATATTCACCTAGTGTATTCAGAAGATTTTAAATTCTCCAGCCCAAGAGTAAATCGAAATCAAGGAAGAAACATGGTGCTTTTAGAAAAATTTTAAATTCTCTGGCACATTCTCCGGTCCATAATTTGAAGTTTGAACCTAAAAAGTTAAGGAATGGACTAAACCTCCTTAATCACCACACAGACCAACCCCTATGGGTTAAGTAATTTGGATTTTCCTTTATGTTTTTTGGATTGAATGTTAATCAAAGTATTAACACCGCTCGAACCGAAAAAAAAAGAAAAAAAGGAAAAAAAAATGGCAACTTCACTCTCGTCTAGTCTTCTCCTTTTCCCAAAAACCAAAGGATGTGGTCTTGGGGGAAAAGAGTTGTTTTGTTTTGACCAAGACCAAAATTCAATTCTCATTATCTATGAATAATTAGTTATTATTATTTTTTAATGTTATCAGATTTGGATTGGTTTGATCTAAAGGATAACCCTATGGCCGACTAAAGGGTAGGCGAGTTTTGGTGCTGGTTAGCCCAAAAGTGGTGAACTTAGTTTTACTTGAAGCGAAAGCTGGTCCGAAAAACCCAACTACCTGTAAATATTATAAAGAAAAAAAAGTCTTACAAGTTGCAATTGCCAATAAAATGACCATAACTCTTGGTAGGAAGTTCCAAATCGTGCACCCTTCAAAGCTTAGGAATCTGGCAACTTTTGCCTTTCTATTGGCATATGATTTGTTAGGCTCTTTGTTCGGAATCAGTACAGTTTTGCTTTTGAACTTGTCATTAGTCAGGATAATATTCCTCTGTTTTGGACATGTTTTTGTTATTTATCGACCCTTTGAACCCTTATCCATCCTTTAGCATTTTTTTCAAACAAATTGAATTTGGATCTTTGGGGTTTTCAGGACTCAGGACAATTCCTGCATCAGCCCCATACAAAGCCCAGTTTTCACAAGTCTGTGGCATCCAAGTACATCCTACATTGCTCTATACAACTGATTTCCACAACGAACGAGAATCTAGCAAAACAAAGCAACAAGAAATCATTCATTGTGCATTTGAAATTCTTAAATTGAAAAACTACAAACCTCTGTGATCAAGTCCCACAAAGACAGGGGAAAATGAACACTCTAGCCCCATGCTGACAAACAAAGGAAAAGAATACTATTCCAGGAAAGAGAAAAGAAGTTGAAGGTGTTGCTTGATTGCATTATCTTCCCACTCTAGTTCTTCATCCCACCATTCTATGCAGCTACCTGCAATTTTGGTGCATCAACCAGGCTCCTTGGAAGAGATTTTCCGGTAATTGCCTAGGCAAAAACCGTTGACTCATAAACCAAATAGGAGATAAAAAAGCACGCAAGTTTGTTCCAATGGTTGTATAATGAGTAGCTTTTCTTAGTCAAACACGTTAAGCCTCAATCATTCCAATTGCCTTCACTATGATGTAATGGTAAGGGTTACCCCATTATCTAGCAAGACCCATAAGCTTTAGCTTTCAGACGAAAATGACATATTACCAATGGTTTTGACAAAAAATCCAACAAGTATGGGCGTTGTGACAAGAAAAAGAAATGAACATGGAAAAGCCTTGAAAGAATGTTAGTTCAGGAATTAGAAGAATGTTAGTCCAATTATAAAAGAATGTTAGTTGAGGTTATACTGATTTGATGCCAATAGGGTTTGTTGTTGATTTCTCGCATAAATGTGTTCCTTCTGTTTTCCTGTTGTTACCTTAGGAATTAGCATAAATTTTCCGAATTCTTGTGTGTTTTCTAACATTCTAAATCTGAAAACTTGACTTTGTAAGAAGGGGAAAGATTTCTTTTGATTTGCTAAGAGGTTGCAGGTTTGTTCAACTTCACGGATAGTGTAATTAAGATTTACGATTTCTTTTGAGTAACCAAGAAGTTCCAGGATTTAGTTGAGCAAAGTGTAATTTCAGTAAGATTTCTGATAGTAGGATGCACCAAGGTGCCACAAATTGATAGACTAGAATACGAAATGCATGAACTCAAACTTATATGGGAAGAATTTAAAGAGGTTGGAGAAATTAACCATGTTCAGTTTTAGTTTGGTTCAAGAATTCTGTCGACGACTTCCTCTGCTACAAGTTGAACCAGCACTTCATGAATTGCATTATTTCATAGAGGGTAGATTGCCAATGAATTTCGGAATTCATATATGCAAACCATCCAGCAGCTACAGAAGAACTTTGATGGCATCCTATTAAATCCATTGAATTCATAAGAGCACAAATTGAAACAAAACACATTTCCACAATGGATGAATCTAGATGAACAAACAAGCAAGAAAATCATTCATTACATAGTGAGGAGTGCAGTCCTAACCACAAGAAACAGCATGCCTCTTAGGTCCCATAAAACTCTGACAAGAAAAAAAGTGCAACACTGGAAAACAAACTTAAGCAACTTCCAATCATCGGTATTTGCACATCAAAATGTCATATAGCTGGTCTATCGAACTGAGAAAAGAATTTGTAGGCGTTGCTTGATTGCGTTATCTTTCCACTCTAGTTTTTCATCCCACCATTGTCTGCTGCTACCTGCAATCATCCTTAATTTTGGTGCATCGACCAGGCTACTAGGAAGAGATTTTACATTGCATCTGTGAATCCAGATTTCCTCTATTGAGACTGAAGCCAATGATATAATCCTATCAATACTGACAAGTTTGGGGAGAGCACGAAGTTTTAAGAGTTTCAACCTTGGGAGTTGATGACCATCATTTCTGACCATCTCAGGTTCACTCGCATTCTCTTCAAAATTATCTTCAAGCCGATGGCAGGTATGGACGGAAAGGTTCTCCAATTTAGACAGTTGCTTGATCATGCTCCATGAGAAAATCTGCTTTACGTGATGACATGTGCTCAATATCAAAGAATTGAGATTTGAGAAGCTTCTTGTTGACACTTGCCCTTCCATTATAATTCTCAATTTCGGCAACCTGTACAGTCTTAAATCCTCCAAATCAGGTAAAACGTCGCCTTCTTCTGACTCGTCCCCATTTGCAAGAATCTCAATGTCATCACAGCTCGACACTACACAAATTTTTGAGGCCTTTTATGTTTTGCATGCCAAATTCAGACAGTGTTTTGATACCAGGATGAAACTTCACAAAAAACTCTTGGGAACGACTAAGTACTCTCATTACTGCAGGAGGGATCGGGGTAGTAGGAGAATCCTGGAATCCGTATCTCGAAGTTCCATGGCTCAACCCTAGTGGCCTATGTATCAATGAACCATAGCAATTGTACGTCAAAGCTCCATGGCTCAACTCCGGTTGCCGATCCAGTAAGTGGCCAAAATCATCATTGACAAAAAATCGAAAGTTCAACAACCTTTGTTCTTTCCAAGACCAGCTCGATGAGAGGAAACCCTCAAGGTGTTCAACCGTCGGAAATTGGAAATGAATTTTAGTCAAATTTCCCAAACTAGCCACCTCATCCATCATGCGAACGCTTGCCAACTCCTGCAACTTCCCATCAATTTGTAGTTGCTCCAATGAGATTAGACTTGTTATAACCCCAACAGGAATTTCCACAGATGTACTTGAAACTATTAAACTAATAAGACGATTCAAATTCCTAATCTCAAATGGTAAACTCTGGACCCCAACTTCAGCCATTTGAAGTTCTTCGAGGTTCTTTAGAGATCCCACTTCAGATGGAAGCTTTGCAAGCTGGTAACAATAATTCAAATATAGCCCTTGAAGATTCACCAAACTGCTAATAGATGATGGTAGTGATCGATTTTCGTGTGCGATAGGTCTAAAACTCGAAGTTCTGCCAAGTGCTGAAAGAACTTGTTCGGAATTTTCTTTAACACAACATTAAATTGGAGGAACAATGTTGAGAGAACATGACAATCCGATGATTCGGGTAAAGTGTCCAATGTGTTTTCATGAATGATATGCGTTTCATTTGCTTCCATTCCTCCTCATTTCCATGCGATCGATCTCTTAAACCAGCTCGTACCAAAAACTTACTGTCATTATTTCCTCTTGGCGATGTGATAACTAATGCTAGATCCCGTAAAACATCATGCATCCTACAATGAAAGTATCCAACCATCTCCAAAAAAGATTTTTGAACAAGGGTATTCAATACGTCACAACCTTTATTATAGCCCTCTATTATAGATTTTGCATCATTAGTCAGCCCTGTTGGGCAAAGAAACGCAAATAACACAGCGGAACCTTTTTGCCCTTGCTTGAATAATCAAACACAAGCTACAACCAAATACCTAAGCCAAAGCAAGTAACTAATAATCTGAAAAATAAAATACCAATCATACAAGGAACACATAAATTTTTACGTGGAAAACCTCCTCAATTTGAGAAGGAAAAAACCACGGGACCGAGTCCACAATAACTTCCACTATCAACAATAATGGGCAATATAAGGAGTCCTCTCTAGATTAAACTAGAGGAATACATCAGTCACAAACATCAAAGGTCATACACCCTTGGCAAACCACATCAATAGATGATACACAAAGAAAAGAGAAGAAACCAAGTTTAGATTTTACCAAAAAATAACACTATTATAAGCATTATATCTCACTCTCCAGGACTCCAAGCCAGATTTCCACCATTCAAAAATGTGTGGTTATCTCTCCCGAACGTGCCCACAAAATTTGAGCTCGATCCAACGGTTAACGAACCCGAAACTCAATTTATACGTGACTAATCCGTGCTGAAATTTTCTTATCTCTTTCTCTATAAAGTTGTGGCCCTCTCTCATTTTCTTTTCTTTTTCTCTCTTCTTTCTTCCCTAATCTGATTTTAGACTAAAAGAGAAGATAGATTTTATTTAAAAATACCAAAATTACCCTTTAAGTGATTAAAACATTCCTCCTCTTTATGGATTCCAAAATTGGGCTCATGTAGGCAAACCTTTAGGCCATCCTCCAACTAAGAGGGAAACCCAACAAATCTACCCTTCACGAATAGGTGGGGGTATTCGCCATCCCGTGATCGAACAACAAGCCTCAAGTTTCTTCCTTGGTAATGCTTTAGTCAACATATCGAGCCATTATCATCGGTATGGATTTTCTCAAGTTCCAACAACTTGGAATTCAAAACATCTCTAATCCAATGATATCGAACATCAATGTGCTTCGATCTATCATGAAATGTAGAATTTTTACCAAGGTGGATAGCACTCGACTATCATAAAATAACACATACTTATCTTGCTTGAAGCCAAGTTCCCGAACATATTTCTTCATTCATAGCAACTCTTTACAAGCTTCTATCGTCGTAATGAATTCCGCCTTAGTAGTGGAAAGAACAACTCACTTTTGTAATCTAGATTGTTAACCCATAGCTCTCCTTACAAAAGTAATCAAATATCCGGATGTTGACTTGCAAAACTCAATGTCTCCTGCCATGTTTGAATCCGTATAGCCAATCAAGTCCGATTTCTTAGCACCATAAGACAACTTCAAACTACTTGTGCCTTTGAGATATCTCATTATCCACTTAACCGCATTCCAATGCTCCTTTCCTAGATTTGACAAAAATTTGCTAACTACCCAACAACGATGAGCAATATCAAGTTTTGTATACATCAAACTCCCAACAGATTGAAGCATATGGAACTCTCTCGCATCTCCTCCTTCTCCTCATCCGTAGAAAGACTCGTTGGATGATTAACTTAAAGTGGGTTGCAAGAGGAGAGCTAACCACTTTAGCTTTATCCATCTTGAATCTCTAAAGTACCTTCTCAATATACTTCTCCTAAGATAAGTATAATCTTTTAGCTGCTTTATCATGTTCAATGCGTATGCCCAAAATTTGCTTTGCTAACCCTAAGTTCTTCATGTCAAAGAACTTGTTCAACTACTTCTTCGGGATAACTATCATTGAAGCATTCCCGCCAATAATTAAGATATCATCTACATAAAGCAATAATATTAAAAAGTCATCATCGAAAATTTCAACACATAAACACAATGATCCGATGTGGTTCTTGTATAGCCTTACTTCCTCATAATTGAGTCAAACTTCTTGTACCACTCGCCTAGGAGCTTGCTTTAAACCCGAAAGATTTTTCTTCAATTTACACATCGAGTTTTCCTTGCCTTTCAAATAAAACATCTCTCGGTTGCTCCATGTAGATTTCCTCTTCTAATTCACCATGTAAAAAGGTTATCTTGACATTCATCTATTCAACTTCCAAGTCAAGACTTGCTCGTTAGGCCGAGAACAACTCGAATAGATGACATCTTCACCACTAGAGAAAATATCTCTTCAAAATCAATACCTCTTTTCCGATCGAAACCCTTTACCACTAATCTTGCTTTGTTTCTAGGATGTGTGGCATGTTCTTCATGCCTAATTCTAAACACTCATTTATTTTTCAAAGCTCTTTTACCACTAGGTAATCTTACCAATTCAAAGATATTGTTCTCATGTAAAGACTTTGTCTCATTATTCATGGCTTCAATCCACTTTTTTTGTTCTCATCTTCTATTGCTTCTTTATAGGATTCGGGCTCTCCACTCGTTAGTCAATAACACATAATCATCGGTAGAGTACCTAGTAGAAGGTCTTCAATTTGTGTTAGATCGTCCGAATGAAGTTTTTGATGGAACTTGTTCATCGCTCTATTCAACTATCTAATCTTGTTTATCACTTGATGCATCATTATGAATCCGACTATTGTCTTGCATATCATTATCATTTTGTGATCCCTCCTCGCATATGAATCATCTTGCACATCATGTTGAACCGGCTCGCCTATTGGTATAGAATGAACCGGCTCAACTAGCTCTATATCCACTCGATCATCATAAGACTCAACCACTCTCTACTTTGTCTTCTCAATATCTTGTATGGCCTTATCCTCTAGAAATATAACGTCACGACTCTAATGTTCTAGAAATACAACATCACGACTTCGACTATCTTCTTTTCAATTAGATCATACGACTTGTAGCCAAACTCATCCAGATCATACCCTAAGAAGATACACTATCTTGTCTTTATCTAGATCTCTCATCTTTAGGAATGTGAATGAATGCCTTGCATCCAGAAATTTTTAAGTGATCATAGGATACATCTTTGCCACTCCAAACCATGTTTGGAACATCAAATGACAAAAGCATAAAAGGTGAAAGATTTATTAAATAAAGAACAATATTTAATGCCTCACCCTAAAATGACTTAAGTAGTCAAGCATGAGAAAGCAAGCATTTGACTCTCTCAACTAGAGTCTTATTCATCCTTTTAGCCAACCCGTTCAACCGAGGTGTCTTTGGTGGAGTCTTTTGATGCTTAATTCCTTGAGTCTTACGAGTGCTTATCAAAAGAGCCCGAATATTCATCATCATCATTGTCGGTTCGGATACATTTAAGCTTCCTCCCTATTTGTCTTTCTACCAAAGCCTAAAACCACTTAAAAACACTAAGAACTTGATCTTTCGATCTCAACGTATAAACCCATACCTTCCTTGAGTAATCATCTATGAATGTTACAAAGTAATAGGAAGCTCCTTTTGACATTATCTTCATAGGACCACACACATTTGAATGTACTAACTCGAGGGGATTCTGTTTCCTTGTAGGTGGACGGCTCCTAGAGGAAACTCTATTCTATTTTTCAGCCAAACAATACGTACACTTCTTCAAGTGATTATCCTACATATGAGACAATAATATTTTCTTTTTCAATACTTCCATGCCTTTCTCGAGTCATATGAGTTGTCATAACACAAAAATTTCACATTTTTTGTTACTTTATTTGTTTCTTACTTTTATTTTATTTTATTTTATTTTACTTTTTTATAATTTACTATAAAAAAAGGAAAAAGAACAAAATACAAAAAAAATAAAAAAATCGGGGGATATTACATCCAGAGGTGTAATTGAATGAATTGAAAATATAATTGAAGTAATTGGCGACCCAATTGATACAATTGAATTTACAAAGACTAAAATCCCTTAACAAAAGGATCCAATTGATAAAATTCAATTTATAAGAACTAAAATTGCATATGAAAGGAGTATGATTGTTGTTATTGGAGGTTTGAAGGGACCAAAATAGAACTTGGGAAAAAATCCGAGACCAAGGTAAATCTTGGATTTGCTCTACAAGATTTCCCGGGATTCATGGTTGGCAATCGTACCAGCCATGAATCTCACCACCATGCTACCATTAATGCATCCATTCTCTCGCATACTCCATAATCCAATCCCTACTTTTCTGTCGTCAAATTTGCAACAATCAAGGGAATTTTGTAGCAATGCCATGCCGCATAGCAGCTGACCCCTTCTCTCCCTCTCACGGATTGATGTCGGGTTTTAGCTTATAAATAGAAGGAAGAAAATGATTTGAGAGGTTGGGGGAAAAGAGGGAAAAAGTTAGAAAATTTTGGGTTGAGGGAGAGTGAAAAGCAAAACAAAAAAGGGCTAAAATTCGAAACTTTTGGGGTTAATTTGGCTCGCATTTTTTGGTTTTTTTCTAGGTTTTGGGTTGGTGTTCTTAATTTTGGCTTTGTGTTCATCAACTGCTAATTTATTTAGTTCTTTGTTGTGTGTTTTTCGTGGCTAATTTTCCATCCTTAAGTGTTTCTCAACCTCCTTGTTTGAAATTTGGGTTCCAATTCTTCCTCTTTTTTTCTTCTTTGGATTTTTAGGCGACCTTGAACTCATTCTTTATTTTCTAAGTCTCGTTTTCTTCATCCTTTGAAGCATTTTTAAGGCTACTTTGAAGGAGATTATCATTATAGGGATGAAATAAAATAGAAATCGAGTGTCAAAACTTGAAAAACAATGAGAAATCGTCACTTAGGGTTCATCATTTCTAGGTCCTTTGTTGGGTTTTATGGGTCGTTCTCGGCGTTTTCATCCGTTTCCCGAGTCGGCTCCGGGATTTCAAGCTTTGATTCCATATTTGCCTAAGTCTTAATTACTTGCTTGATACTTCATTCATGTTTTAATTTAGTTGGTTCATTTGCTTGGAAAGAGCTTTTGTTTGCCTAAAAATTTGAAGAACTAGAGAGAGAAACTGAAAAACACGAAGAATAAGAGAGAGAAAGGGTC